CTAAATCCGACAATGGAGCGAGCCACACAACTATTTAACGTAACTTTTCCTTTTAGTAAAGGAAAATTGTTGTGCAATATATCAAGCATTTCATCACAAGTGATTACTGTACTGGTGAATCGAGTGATATCCACATATGTAACCCAGAATCGATTCTCAGTAAAAATTGTCATCCTCGATGACGTCACCACCATTGTTGTCGTGTACTCGTCACTTGTTGGAACTTCTCAACATGAGAAACGATTTTCTATTTGATTTTCTATTGCATGGATTTAAATAGCGGATTTAGGCCTACCTGCGATTTTGAAAGTACATGCTGGTATTAAGTCAAAACTTACCCTATAAATTAATTATCAAATCATTGAGATGGGGACGCCACCTAGTTGCGTATTTAAACCAAAATATGAGTTAGGGATTCTTTTATCAGAATTTATTTTACAATCTGTTCAAATATGAGAACAATAAGTAAAACATTTATCAAAACAATGTCAGGAAGCAAGCGCCTGTTCATCAACAAGTCTTGCCAAAAATTGGATCAATCATTTAAATATTTACAGAAATCTGTAGCTTAGGTCCAGCACATGCACAACACTTTTTAATCTGGTAATGCACTGACTATTGTCCAGCAGATTAACAGCAAGACTGTTCGGATGATATTCAAATTTTTCTTGATACTTTTTGCCAAGGTCTGTAATTTCTTCTTTAGTTAGGGATGAGTGTAGAATTTACCAGCTATTTCATCAGCAGGAGCATTGTCCAATCCAATGATCAAGAACAGCTGGGTCCAATTTCGAACCATCAAAAGTCTACTGACTTCTCAGTATGGAACCGGTGACCTTTTGAATGCGAGTACTCTAACCACTCAGCTATATGTCATCGATTTGTTTTTCTTTCGTCATAAGAAGATAATTAATAACTTTTAATCTTATGATATGGTAACTAAAATAAAACGTTTTCATCATGGAACCCTCTACCAGCAGTCTCTTTAATTTTAAACAATCCGGACAGTATTACTGTGAAGATATCTCTAGTTTGGCATGCTGTACTATATTTTGAAACAAGTGTTACATTTTTAGCTGATTAATGTTATTAGATAACCTCTCTGGTTTAATATGATTCATCATTTGAGCTTATCTGTTTTCCTTAGACAATCTATGTACATTTTGACACGATCGCTAAAGTTTGTCATTCATCCAATCCTGATAGTTAAAGATCATCTTCAATCTGAGAGTTTTCGTTTGAGGTGGATCTTTTAAGTTCAGATGATTCTGTCTAGTTCATGATTCTCCGATGTTCTGACCTGCTGCTTAAATCTTTAGTTAGAAATTATATTTCTAGTCTAACATGATTTATATAGTTTTAGTTGATTCGATATAACCTATAACTATTTTACAAGATCTTTCTCTTTTAAGTAAATCTATATTTTTAAGTCTATCTATTTTGTGTGAGACGACCTCTTTCGTTTTAACTATCCGTACAATTCAAGATGTTCTATAAAGTTCAAGATTTGTATGTGCTGATCTGTATTTTGGGATTGTGTTTTCTGATACTGTTATACATATTAGATATTACAATTCTCTCGTTGTTGCTGATGTGCAGATCCGGATCTTTTTTAGATTGTTCCCTAGTCTAAATAATATTTATAGTTTTTTATAGTACCTCTGTTGTTTTGATGTTTTATTGTTGTTGATCCATAAGATTAAAGATGTACTTCAGTATATACTTGAAGGTTTATGAATTATCTCTAATTTATAGTAGCTTTGAAAAATGGTTTGTCCTGAAACGACGCTTGGAATTACTCGATTTATCATTTATAAACAGTTTTAAGTCATCTCTCTCATTTTAGCGTACCTATAACCCTATATATGACACGAAGTATCTGGTTGTAGCCAATCTTTTTCTTTTGAATTATATTTTCAGATTATATAATGTAGTTTTATTCGTGATTTCTGGCGTTTCACTAGATTAAATCGATCTCTAATTTAATGTGTTCCAGTTTTTATTTTAGCTCGTACAATTAATACTAGTGTTCTTTTGCGGTAAAACTTTCTGTCGCTGAAAGATACAACAAACAAAACTGTACCGTGTTTTCACTGATTGTCACAATGCTATAAAAAATCGTGAAGCAATAATTTTTGTTTATTTTGAATTAATTAACTTGTTGCACACATCATAACTGCACTCAGTTAACAAACCAAACCTGTTTGTTAACAACAAAACGCAAATCTTTCAGATTTGATTTGACAAAGAAGTTCAATGAATAGTCCACTTAAATAAACTATGATAAAAACTGAACACTTAAACCAGTATATTTTTATGAGAATTGCACAGTACTGATGTGTCGTTATATTTTACAATCTATGTTTTTCATGCGTATTAGTCTTAGTTAAATATTGAAAGGGATGAGTGGTGATATTTTTGCAGTTGTCATTGTTAAATTATTTGGTAGGCTACGTGAACCACAAAGCGTTTTAAAAGTGTACACACTTTACAAAAGTAGATTTGTTTGATTCAACAAACGAATGGGTAAATCTTTTCATAATTAATTTTTGTCCACACTAAGGTCTCTCTCAACTTTATACACGTTGACCGATTTCGAGTAGATTTATGTCGCTGACACACTGTCTATAGAATCGCTTCACTTTTCGAGCATCATTGAAATCACAAGATTTTTACGCAGGATGGTTTGCCGAATCAAACAGCAATCTGGAGCATACTTTTCAGTATTGTTTCATATTTCAGATCTTGTACTTTGGAGCTAAAACTTTGGGCAATTCAGGAAGTAAAAACTTTTTGTCATTCATGAATTGGACCAATTTTCCAATCTTTGTCCTTTATTCAAGTGTCGCGTTCCCTAAAACTTTTTATTACACCCTATTCTAAAACTTTTTTTCATGTTTACAATTTTGTCTAATTTGATGTTGAAATATGTTTATACCTTATCACTAATCACTCGTCATCTCACAACTTTACCATGGACGCGCGCGCTGGTACAGTAGCCACCGGTACTAAATTTTTACCGCTAAATGGAACCATCGATTTACAACTTTATTATAACATTATTATTTGTTTCCACCGTGTTCGTAATCGCCTTCCTCCATTCCACCCATTTTCTCCTCGCCAAACCTAAGCGAGTTTTTTTCAGCTATGAAATAGTTACCGGCTATCGGCTATACCGCACGCCATTCGCGAACCACGGTGTGGAGCGGACGCCGACGAAGCGAGTGGGAAAAGAGAGCCGTTAGGACGTACAAGTAAAAAGGAGAAGGAGCGCATGCGCGAAAGTGCCACATAGTAAGAGCCGAGGATTGGGCGAAACCATTCTAACGTCGAGGGGTGTAAGGTAGATGTTATGCTCAAATAGCGCGCTGGGCGCGGCTTTACTATTCAAGGTCGTTTACCAATTTTTATTACTTTCACGCCAGCGTGACCCAGAAGGTGTTGGGAATAAAAGTAACTAAAGGAGAAATAAGTCCCGTTGTCTGTGGACGTTGAACCGTCGTCTCGCCTAACGCAGTTAAATAATTAATCGATCACGAACCTTATTTAGTATTCTCTGGTGTCGGATAAATTGCTATTTCCGAAATCCCGCTTGCGCCTCTGAACAATCACAAGTTGACGTACGATTGTGTCGGTCGACCTTGAGTTGACAAATTGTAGGTCATTGCCAGCGGCTGTCTCCCGTCTGTGATTGATATCTTGACCGTTCACACCTGTGTTTGTGATAATGTACTTCACGTACAGTGATTAGAATGTCAATTGACAGAGAATTATAAACCTGATGAACCAATGACACTTTCCTTGATATTTGAATTCCATTGAGTTTATCATGCGTCCAAGATGTATTGTAGTTTAATTCTAGAATCTTTGCAACTTATATGATAATTGGTTGCAAATTAATTTTACCTGTGGTCTGCGAGATTTATCAGAAAGCATACTGTATCGTTTTTATCAAATAACCTGATCGTTTTACCATGGTACTTACTTTCATTTCCAGATTCTTTTTTAAATGTTACTAATTTACACGAATCGATTGGCATCAATTAAGAGAAGTATTTTTGTTTGGTTCGTGCGAAATTGTTTCAAATTTAACTCGAAAATGCATAATATAGAAATGTTTATAGGACGGTTCCATTACGACATGAATCCATTATTTTAATGAACAATTATTATTACGATTAGATAAGTATTACAAAAATTGGCATAGAATTCATTTTGAAATATAGGAGGCAACAATAACGTTTGTAAATCCGTCTCATAACTGTAATCTTTTACAAATTGATATCAATCACGTAGTTAGTTAATTTATAAATAATTTATGTTATAACATAAATTATAAACATAAAATAAAAAATACAATTAGCCATAAAATCATTAAAATTCCAAAATTTTCATTTTTTGTTTGTATTGGATTGGTCCATTCTGCCTGACCTTCTACCACTTATTAAAATAATTATTTTTTTAAATTTTCTCATTACACGCTCCGTCATAATTTTATGGTCACGTGATCGCAGTCGCCATCTTGGCACTCTTTGGCGTTTTAGGAGCTGTTCGAGGGTTAGTGACGTCGGCTACAAACAAGTCGTTTTGGTGTTTCCGTCATGATAATTCTCGTTCAGAGTTGATTTGGATACTCCATTGTTGATTCTAAGGTAAATTTATGTATAATTATTACTAGTTTTACCGTCTTTGCTCTATATTGACATTTCATATGACGCTTGACCAAATCAGCGGCGGCTAGCAGTAGCTACTGCAATCAGAAAACGTTCTGCTGTTACGTATCTCTCTTGTATTGGAAATGGCGGGAGGTGTAAATTGCTTAAAACTTGCTCATTTTGTGATAATTTAATTGTATTATGGCTACGAAATGAATGTATATCGTCCCCGTCGTTGACAAATTCAAATTCTTTCGTAATGAGGGTATCTTTATGTCAAAATTTATGGATTAATTTCCTCAGTACCAAACTACAATGTGCTTTGTTGATACCAGCACACTCTAGCGAATAAAACTTCAACTTATTACCATTACGGACTATGCATTACCTGGTTTGTGGTAGGTTGTTATTCGGACAAATCGGAATTCGGAAAATAAATACTATGCGTAGCCGGTTGAGTAGTTGTGAAGTGTTTTTAAATTATTCAGTGTTTGTTTCATGTTAGTGAAGAAGTTTTGATTGAAGTGTCGTCCTGTTGCCATTTTATTCCAGTTTTAACCCTAAATGTCAATCGAAATTTATTATGTTATCAGTTCATTTGTCACCAGCTTTGTGGTTAATGTGCTGCATTAAGTAACTTTCAATTTTGATTCGCCTATCAAAGTGGATTAATTTGAAGTGTAAAGAATTGATTTTTCAATCGCTGACCTCTACTATCTTCGTTCAACCTCAACCTATGGTATGATCCCGTTGTATAGCCTACGGGAGGTAGGACGCCATTTTGAAATTCTAAATCGATAATTTTTTTTAGAATTAAGGTACTGTAACTTACGATTAATTTCATCTAAGTTTAATGTTTCATCTCGTTTGCAGGACAAATTTACTTGTTTTTTTGTGACACAATCCCATGTCAAGTTTATTAATAAACATAACCTCCTCTGTTGGTAGGCTAGGCCTTAGTTTAAGGACATACCTACTTAGATCTAACCTTAACACAGCTCTAAACTTAGCCCAGTCAAATTTATTACTTCATTCTGATCCCAAAATTAGTAAAAAAACCTAAGTTAGTTGCCTATTTAAATTATTAGACCTAAGGGGTACAGTTTCTTAACTGGTCGATAGAAACTATCGAATTGAAAATATTGATTAATAATTGATATTTTTAAATATATTTATTATCAAATTAAACTATCATAATCTAAACTAACCAACCAAACTTGTTGATGGTGAAAAAATCGCATAAAGGTTTACTAATCGAATCGATAGTTTGAATCGATATTAGCATTTAGCCCAGTTAAGAAACTGTACCCGACCTAAGTTGCAAAAAGAAAGGCGTAATGAACAACTTAAGTTAGAGCCTACTTAGATTCAAATTTGAATGAAACAATTAGACAAATCACACCTAACTCTACCTTGTAGGATTTGCCTAAAGCGGCCCTGATGAGGAAAGTAGACACCGCAAGTTGTTATCAACAAGTAACTTGGTACCGTAGTTAACTTAACGTAATTATTTAAGTTACTTAAACGTGGCCAAGGAAACCTTGATTTGTACATCACCAGAAATAAGATTTTCAGCTGAAAATAATTTACACAGAGGATCGTCCGGTAACCAGACGTGGATTAGGCGTCCGGTAGTGACGTCACTGGGTTGTGGGGTCCCGGAACGCCATTACCACAACGATACGATGTTCGGCCAGCGTTGTTCGTGGTGTAGTGGATAGAGTGCTCTACTGATATCCAAGAGGTCCCTGGTTCGAAACCCATCGGTTTCTTTAACCTTTTTGTCACAGATTTTGCTTTGAATGTAATTTCTTCTTAACTGTACATGTTTGGTAGAATATTTGGCATTTATAATTTTATGTCATGAAGAGAATTGAACCTTCATTTGATTTTTTTCATTATCAGCAAGTTTGGTTGGTTAGGTTAGGTTATGACAGTAACTGCCGGACGCCTAATCCACGTCCTGTTACCGGACGCGTATCCTCTGCGAATAATTAAACGCCTGCAAGAAATTTCTGCGTTCATTAACGTAACTAAACTCAGCTTTTTAAAGTGTTTGTTTAATTTATAAAGGTTTAAAAACCTGCATTCAGTAATCCAAACTACTGCTTGTGGCAACTATAGTGTCGGTTCAGCTAGGAACCATCTTCAGGCCGCACAAGGTGCCGTTATTTACCTCTGTAGGCCTATATGAAGGTCGTCATTTAAAATATAAGTACAAAATCACACACAAACACGCACATTGATTAATTGACGAACATTTAACATTAAAAAACTACCGAGCAGTCAGGGACACGAGACAGGTGACGTGACCGGGGGGAAGTAAATAAAAGGTATAACGACACCTTGTACGGCCTGAAGATGGTTCCTAGCTGAACCGAAGCTATAGGCCTAGTTGCCACAAAAAGCAGCAGTTAAGATTACTGAATGCAGGTATTTGAACCATTATAAATATTCAAACGTAATCCGGAGGCTAAAAACTCTTGAAAATTTTTGTTTAAGTTTGTAAGTTAAAGTTAAATCTAACTGACTACTTAACTTATATTTTTGTTAGTACGATATTTCCTCACCAGAAACTTGATATTAATTAGGCTATCAATTTTTGATCATTGATTCTTTTAAGTGACTCAAAGTGAATATTAACTTAGGTAGGTAACTTAAGACTCACACGTAACACATTTGCTACCAAGCATCGCATATATGCGACGCCGCGATCATTGCCAAGGACCGAAGTAAGTTATACAATTTAATCTTAACACATAGACCGGCTGTCACTTGGTTAATACCCAGACCACAGGCAAAAACCTGTTAAACAGTGATCATTTACTTTACACTGCAATCGTGTTTGTTTAAATAATATATTCTTCTTTTTTTATATTTTTGATAACCTTTTGTAATGTCACATATCTGTCCCCTGGTCTCCAGCAAAGACGATATGGTACCGGTACCTAGTGAAAATTATCAATTTTTTCTTGAAATAGCCCAAACGCCTCAAATATGCGACAGTTAATTTTTGTTTGTTTTGAGGTGAAAGTAGGCTACCGGTAAGTAAAAAAAAACAGATTATTCAAGAACAGTTTATAACTGAACAAATATAAAAGCTACATAGGATAAAAAAACACCAGCATACATACATACAGTAATGCAGAAAAGTAAAGACCAGTTTTTCTAACTATCATATGATGTCACCAATCATTATATCCACAGACCAAGTGACGCAGTTGTGCGTGAGACATCCCTGTAGACTACTGCAGAGAATTCAGTGCCTTCAAATATACCGTTAAAAAGATATAGGCCTAAGCATTTTGATAACATTGGAACACCGACGCAAATATGCGTCGTCAGTCTACAGTAGACTCCCTCTTATCTGGACTCCTCGGGACTGAGACCAGTCCGGATAGCGGGATTTCTGGTGTAACTGACGTCCCCAAAAAAACTCGTTAAAACGGACTGTTTATTGTGATATTTTACTTAAATTTAGGAGAGCATTGTATTTAGACTTGGGATCACTGGTCTCAAATCTTTCCCACGAGTACATTCATTTCAGTACTGCCCACTTCCTGCTGATCTAGTCCGGTTGTCCTGATAAAAACCAATGTGCTGAATAAAATTGTCCGGTTAAAGAGACGTCATTTCCGCCGAGTGTAGTCCGGATAAGAGGGAGTCTACCGAATATGCGATGGCAGTCTATAGGTAGAAACCGGCCGTCGCATACGGTATGTGCGTCACTAGTCTATCCGAATAAAAAATTTTGCACTATTGCGGTACCGTAGCGAACGTGTTAAAATAGTTTAATAGGATAATAAAGAAAAAGCTATTTTTTAAGAATGGTAGCCTGACTAGAGTTAAATAATATAGCCTAGTAACTGTAGCCTACCCAACAAGAAAACCACCAGACAAATAAATTGATGTTAGCCGAATATTTAATAATGACAGCCATGATGGATTTGGAATATTTATACAGTTTCAGTAGGCCATGCCATAAGTTACATGTTCAGTTTGATTTAGTCTTATTGACCATGTAGCTTCATGAGTAGGCTACCAGTAAGTTACTGTTATCTTACAAAAGGGATATAAGTTAATTAAAATGAAACTGTTAACCAACCCAAACTTGCTGTAATATTTCAAAATTCCAATTGATAACAGAAAAGGCATGTGAGAAAGACAGGTCGGACATTATGCTGATTCGTGACTGTATTAAAATTAAGTTTGAGGTTCAACACCTATTTATACCTAGAAACTTTACCTTCCTAAATATAACCTAACTTCTAAACGCTCAATACAGTCACAAATCCGCCTTAGGCCCGACCTTTCTTTCCCACATACCTAAATAAGATCTATTAGTCTGCACATGCACAATATTAAGTGATCAGTTGTTTTTACTTTTGATTTTTTGTAAAATTTGTACTTTTAATGCCCTTGCATTACCAGTAACTTAAATTTATTATAGGCCTACCGGTATCTCTTTCCTTCTCCTCATCAGTTTTCGTATTTTCATTTTGGTTTTAGTTTACTGTTATGGAGCAAGCAGACCAGAATGTAAACAAATGAAATAATTGAATAAACACCAAACAACAGTAGATCCAATAATATTTGTGTGCGCAGAAATTTTTATTCACAGTTTTTTAGCGAATTTCCCTATAGGGAAGTAGCTATTACCGTAGGTCTCATGGTAAGACTTAGGCCCGGGACCGATTTACTTTTTCATTTTAATGTCCCCAGAGGCCAAAAACACCATTCGTTCAAATTTTTATATATGTATATAGGCCCGGGACCGATTTACTTTTTCATTTTAATGTCCCCAGAGGCCAAAAACACCATTCGTTCAAATTTTTATATATGTATATATATATAGGTACTAGCTGACCCGGCGAACTTCGTATCGCCTAAGTTATAGGTTTCCCCTAAGACAGACCGATGGAAAGAAAGTACCGTTACGTTTAATCTTCAAGATGATCTCGTTCGCATCGCTCAATCACGTCCTGGTTGAAGTTCGTTCGCTACGCTCACTCACCTTTGGGTTGGAGCTCGTTCGCTACGCTCACTCACCTTTAGGTTGGAGCTCGTTCGCTGCGCTCACTTGCCTTCAGGTTAGCTCGTTCGCTACGCTAACTCGCCTCCAGGTTGAAGTTCGTTCGCTACGCTCACTCACCTTTTGGTTGCAAATTAGCTGTTGTCATAAATGTAAAATAAATAATAGTGCTGCACCCTGTTGGTAATCCTTGTAACTTTAATGCTATTGAACATCATAGAACAGAACCAACTTGTTTAATTGAAACAGCTGTTAAGATTCATTAATTCCATTTCTCATAAGGTTAACATGGGAAACTCCAGAGCCACTGGGGTGGAGCCCTTTTAAGAATTTCGAAACGGGAAATAGTTTACGTCCGATTCGCATACCTACAGAATTTACACACCAAATTTCATAACGATCGGTGAAGTCGTTCCGGAGGAGTTTGCAGACAAACACTGTGACACGAGAATTTTATATATTAGATATATATATATATAGATTTATATATATATATGTGTGTCCGTGAACACGATAACTTGAGTAGTTTTTATCCGATTTTGATGAAATTTGGTTTGAAGGTGTAAGGCGGGATAAACTTGAATGAGTTCGCGATCCAGCATGATCGGACCATGGGAACAGGGTTTTATGGGGGGTTATATGGGGTAAAAATTGGTTTTTCTCACTTCTTACCCTCAAAACACGAAATTTCCCAATTTTTCTCTAAACCTTCTTAAAGAGCTTAAAAAAACAAACAATTCAGTATATCAAAGTGTTTTTGTACGGTTATTGGTTACGGAGAAAACTAAAAAAATGGTAAATTTAAAATTCCCATGTTATTCTTATGGAGAATATTGTAAAATGTTGTAGTTTGCTTCTTTATGGATATATTTTGATCAAACTTGGCAAATTTATTTATTTTATAGTAAGCTATCAATATTTTACTAAAAACACACTACTTTATTAGTTTCCTTGTAGCAGCAAACCTAGGTACTCGTTTAACCCAATGTTATTTAAATAGATCAATTGAAAATCAATTCGGACAAATGGAAATTCGCTTAGACGGCAGGTTTGCTGCGGCGGGGGTATTTTAGATCTAGCCTAGTTATAAATTTAGTTTCTAGTGATAGCTTAGTGATAAATACCCCCGCCGCAGCAAACCTGCAGACTAAGCGAATTTCCATTTGACTGATTGGATTTACACTGAAATGTCTATTTAAAAATATAACATTTATTCTTGATTTAAATAGAATTAGTTTAACAAGTACTTAGGTTTGCTGCATCAGGGAGGGTGAAACTGTTTTTTTTTTTGTTTTTTTTTGTAAAATGTGAATAGTTGGTAAGAAATAAAAACATTTTTCAAATTTGATCAAAATATGTTCACAAACAAGCAAACTACAACAGTTTACTTATTCTCCATAAGAATAACATGGGAATTTTAAATTTACAATTTTTTGGAATTTTCTCCGTAACCATTAGGCGCATAACAACGCTTCAATATACTAAATTATTTGTTTTTTTAAGCTCTACAAAATGGTTTGGAAAGAAATTGCTAAATTTTATGTCTTTTGGGTCAAAAATGGGAAAAACCTATTTTTACCCCATAAAACCCCCCGTTCCCATGGTCCGATCATGATGGATCGCGAACTCGTTCGAATAAACGTACGTTTACACGTTTGTACCAAATTTCATCAAAATCGGATCATTTTTGCTTGAGTTATCGTGCTGACGGACACATATATATATATATGAATTTGAACGGATGGTGTTTTTAACCTCTAGGGACCTCAAAACGAAAAAAAAATCGGTCCCGCGTCCAGGTCTTACCATGAGTACTACGGTAATAGCTTATTCCCTATATGGGAAATTCGCTAAAATCAATATAGGTTCGCATGGTGACGTTAATGGAAATAAATACAAGTAACGTAGCCTACAGCCACGTTTACACAAGGCCAGTAGGCAGGCAGTCTGCCTCTGGCAGGCGGCAGGCCTAACTTGAAATAAGTTTAAACACTAACTTAGGCAGGTAATCTGTCAGCACAATAATACTAGGTGTGTAATAGAGGCGTAGATATTTGCATAGATTTAAGATTTATTGATCAGTTCAGTAAATATTCACAATTGACCAAGTCACTAAAAACTAACAAAAAAAAGTTGTATTTCCTGTTGACTCACAAGCTAAAGCAGAAAGCACACCAGAAAGTCCAAAGAGCACACCATGCAAAATAAATAAATAAAACTGTTTTAAACATGCTTTAAAATTTTACAAAACACGGGAAAAAGCAAAAAACTCACCATACTCATTGCAGGCAGGGTTAAATTTGAATTAATCTCTTCTCTATTTTTTCTTTTTACTTCCTTGTATTTTAATACGAGACTAAAAACTCCTGCTAGGTATAAACATAACTAGGCCTAGTTATATGAGCTGAATTGGTGGAAGTCTGCTGTGTAGGAGTTGTCTAAAGCAGCATAAATTACTAGTTTATAGGTCTTCAGGTATTTTACACCTTATGTCCTTGTGGATTTTATAGTAGGCTAACTTATTATAACCTTCCTTTTTATTGTTTCAGTTTTGATTGTTTTGGTGCTGGAACATCATGGCATCAACTATGTCCGAAAATGGCGACACAAGTGAAGAAATACTTCAACAAAATAGTAAGTTTGAATTTTTAAGCTAAATCTAACAATTAGGTCTCGTTAGGTAGGCTACCCTGTAAACTCTCGAGCAGGCGATTAACCTTTCAAACCAGAGGGTGTCCATGCGGAAGCTTTTTCCCCATCACATAATCATACAGATTTATCCAATCTTGCTTTATTATCAGGTAATTTTCAGGAACCAATTCATTTTTAGGCTAAATAGTAAATTGAACAACTGTTCATTACTGAACAAACTGTTATGAGTAATACGAGGGGGTTTTAAGGTTAGTGTTACGGGTGAGGGCGCATGTGTAGATTTTGAAGCAATTAAATGTAGCCTAAATAGTGAAAAATAATTTAATACTAAAATAATCGTAGCAGGATTATTATATTTTAGGAGATTAAAACATATTCTTTTAAAATCCAATTTTATAATTTAATAAATGCAATACGATACATAGGTATTTGTAAATCGAATTAAGAAATAAAAACAAAATCCTAGATAGGATGCATATGGATAGATAGGATCCTTAGAAAACCCTTAGCAACTTGACTCTGCTAACCAACTCCTCGCATCTCAGATAAAACCAAAGGGAAGGGTGGGTGTAAACAATGTTTTGGGTAGATCCAGGAATGTGGCGTATCAAGTAGGGAGCTGGAAACGAGTGGTAACAACAATTAAGTAATTAAATCTAAGGCTTACCTTAAGATCTAATTTATTTTTATAGAGGAGACCTAGGTTTCTACGTCAAAACGTTATCGCCAGTTCTTTGTCTCATAGGCTAGCTAAACTTCTTGTTTGCCATTTCTTACTTGAGATGTTGTCAATTTGGTATAATTTGTACAAACATTGAACACATATAAATATTTACAGTAAACTCCCTCTTATCCATACACCTTTTAATCGGACATTGGTTTAACCGGACTTCACTCGACGGAAATAACATCTCTTTAACCGGACAATTTTTATCAGCACATTGGTTTAACCAGACTAGATCGGTAGGATGTGGGCGGTACTGAAACAACTGTTCTCGTGGGAAAGATTTGAGACCAGTGATCACATGTTGTCTAAATACAATGCTCTCCTAAATTTAAGTTGAATATCACAGTAAATAGACTGTTTTAACGAGTTTTTGGGGACGTCCGCTTAACCGGAAAACCCGTTATCCGGACTGGCCTCAAGGAGTCCGGATAAGAGGGAGTCTACTGTACAAAGACTTAAATGACAACAACTTAGATACATGGCCATGATCTTTATCAGATCCTAACCTCCGAAGCTGTTTAACGAATGAGATCCTTAAAGAACGGATTGAATTTGGCTAGTTTCTCCACCTATATGGGAAATTACAAAACTACCATGAAATGTTAAAAAATATAGGCATTGTGGCCTACATGTATTTGTGATTGTTACTGTTGGTGTCGTGAAGGTCGAGCTTGTTTTGTCCCTCAGCTAGGCCTAGCCTTATTCGTCTCAGCATTATGGCCTGCAAACAATTTCTTTTAAATACAAAATGTTTCTTTTTATATAAAAATAAATTTGAATGTGATTAATTGTATTTAGACAGTTTTCTAACAGTTTTGACATATTTTGTAGGTGAAACAAGAGTTAATGGAGAAGTCAACGGATCATACGATGAACCAATGGACGTCGATGAAACAGTTAAAACTGTGAAAAAAATTAGTTCCAATGATATCAACTGTATTAGTGATGTAGCTGAGAAGGACAGTGATAGTTTAAATGAACCTAACGATAGAATAAATTCAAACTGTGAAGATGAGTTATCTGAAAGTGCTGTAGAAAATGAAGTGCCTGAAAAAGATGAAGGAACATCTAGCAATGGCTTTGATGAACATCAAGACCAAGAAAAAGAAGAAAATAATGTTGAAGAAAACCATGAAGATGAAGAAGAAACTAATCAAGGAGAGGAAGATGACATTATGATGGTGGAGGAAGAGGATGCTGGAGACCCACTAGGAAATGAATCAAGTGCTGGGGAGGTAGAAAACATTGAAAAGGAAACGCTTGATGAGTCTGAAGACAAGACTTTAGATGACCAAGATAATACTTCCTCCCCAGAGAAACAAATAGATTCTTCTGAAAATGAAAAGAATGAAAATCAAGAAAATGAAAATGTTGAAGCTTCATTGGAAAAGTCGGACAAAGAAGCTGAACTCAAAGACAGCAGCAACAAAGACCATTCGGTTGAAGAAAGTCAAACCGCTGAATCGGAAAAAGAAGAAAAAGACAAAGGGGAAGGTGAAAAAATGGAAGTAGATGGAGAAAAAAATGAAGAATCGCCTGATAAGACCAAAACTGAAGAGGACAGTGAAAAAACACCAGATAAAGGAAAAAAGAAAAAGACCCCACAGCAACCTATTAATATCACACCTAGAAGAAGTTCTCGAAATGTCAATAAACCAAAAACTTACATCGATGAACCTGATATCAAGGGTACCACACTCACAACCCCGAAAAAGATAAATGATGATCCAGATATTGAAGAGATTGTGCCACAAGATCCTTTGGCCATGGATTCACCTGTGTCTGATAAGAAAAAGAAAACTGTCGTTGTCAGTGATCCGAAGAGGTTAGTGGAAATTGCTACAGGCAGTAAGCAAACAAAACTGGGTAAAAAAGAACCAACTTTGGTTATAATTGATACAAATTCTATTCTCTCGGGCAGAGGTCCGGTTCCAGTATCACCATCTTCACCATTAGGACACTCTACGACAGTTGCTGGATCTTCCCGAGGACAGGGTTATTCAGTTCTGCCAGTAGCTCTACCGGCTCAAGGCATGTATCCTCATCCTCTCAAACAGACTCAGCTAAAACCTTTGTCCATGTCACACTCACCATCAGCCACTCCCTCCCCACCCCCTGCCACTTCAAAGACTCCACCTGTCATCTTGCCTTCCCTAACGGACGACATGTATGTAGTTGAAGCTCCGTCATTCATAGTTCCGTATGTTTATGAGAAGCCACCCATAAAACCCTTGAAGAACTTTGTAGATCAGGTAGAACAAGCCATCAAAGAAATTAAGGCTCAATTAGAAAAAGAAAAGAATGAAGAAGACAAAAAAGCAGAAGAAGAAAAGAAATCTGAAGAAGAAGAAGAAGATAAGAAGTCCGATAGCAGCGAAAAGGATGATAAGGAAAAATCGAAAGATGATGATGCCAAAGATGAAAAGATGGAAGTTGATGCGGAAGCGACCAAAACTAAAGATGATGACTCTAAAGAAAAGGATGAAACCAAAGATTCTGAGAAAAGTGAAGACAAAAGTTCTGAATCCAAGGAGAGCGAAAAGTCCGGCGAGGACGGAAAAGCTGATGAAGAGAAGTCCAAGAAAAGTAGTTCATATTTTGACAACCCCCTAGGTAAATTCTTTATTCAAATTGGTGTTAACTTGGTGCAAGAACATGTACAGACGGATTTATTACGATCTCAGAAAAGGAAAAAGGAAAGAGAAGGATCAAAATGTACTCCTGAAGTGCAGCAAGCAATGAATTCCCTTATTAGAAGTTTAGAATTTAGTAAAGCGACCAATGAACCTTTTAAATTGGAAATGAAAAAATGTGAGTTTTGCAGCTTTAAAACAGAATCAGCTCTGGTGATGGCACATCACTTGGAGACTCCGCACATGAGGAACTATGTGTATAGGTGTAATTTCTGTCCGTTGGAAGTGAGGAGTCCCCATGACATTCTATATCACATGGAGGCGGAACATAACGTGAGAGGACGACTAGAGAGAGCCCCAGCCTTCCACCAGTGTCCCAGCTGTCCGTTTGAGGACAACCAGAAGGGGAAACTGAGCAGGCACTTGCTGTCCTGCGCCAAGAAGTACCGGCCAGAGAGAAATCAGGCAAGTGATTTTATCATTATGTAAATATGTGATGCTGATAACAGTATAAACCCTTATGAAAAAGTTTATATATGGCCATATAAAATTTTTTTTATCTGGTTATATTTGGTTTTGGACCAAATATAACCAGATATGATCATATATGGAATCCCCCATATATGGAAATTTTTAAATAAAAAAATATAAATAAATAAAAAAATTACAATTTAACATATTTTAACATGAAATAGTATAAACTATGCATTAAAACCATAATTAAAAATTTTTAATTCGAAAATTTCAAAACAAAATTTTAAATTAGCCGACTGGGATTTGAACCCGGGACTCCAGCGTGGGAGTCTGCCCCTTTAACCACTACACCACAACCGCTTCATATCATATATCTTAACAACACCCATTACGAATAACAGAAGCTGTATTTGGTCTCGTAAAATAAGATTTTCTTAGACATTTTATGTCATTTGAAGAATGTTATTATTAATATAGCCTAAATACGGGACATAGATATTTGCGGCTGTTTGATAGGCAAATATAATATTCTCTTTATTTAGGCCTACTACACTTGCAATTTTAAAATTATACGTCAGTTTTAAAGTTTGTTGCGTTATAATAAAATTGTACAATAGGAATAGATGTATGTACAGGATTTTGTCATCTGGGTTAAAATCTGGATACTTTATTACTTTACTACTAATTACTTTAAATGAGAAATGCCTATTTTATCTGCCCCCCTACTGTACCACATTTCAACTCAATCAGTTCAGTAGTTTGTGCTTGCGAGAGCAACAAGAAAATACACAAACTCACAAACTTTAAGATGTATAATATTATATATATTATAAGAAGTGTTTAGGAGTCCAGTTACAAAATCCAAATGTGGCAACAATTCCTTATAATAATTCCAGTTATTGTCAAAAACTCATTTATACATGAGCATAAATGGAAAATTATTATTCCGTATATGAGTAATTTAATTCCATACCTGGGAGTCATATATGGCCATATATAGACCATGATTCTATATATGGAGGATATTTATGGCCATATATGGGCAATAATTTCATATATAGAAAATATGTATGGCCATATATGGACAATCATTTCATATATAGAAAACATGTATGGCCATATATGGCCAATAATTCCATATATAGACTACATATATGACCATATATGGACACCACCATATATGGATACAACCACATCTGGCCATATCTGCTTCCATATATGGCCATATTAAACCATATATGGCTTTATAAAAACATATATGGAATTTTGATATAGCCATATATGGCCAGAAATTACTTTTTTATAGGGGAACATATGGAAAACTTATATTTGCTTTACTAAGCTCACTTAGTTTTCCTTTTGTCTTTTAAAACAGATGATCTCAACCTGGGGAGCATGGTACTATGATTTCAGGGGGCTTGAGCTGCACTAGAAAAATAATTATAAAAAATAAATTTTATAAAATTAATTTGGGATTGTTGCCATATAGAAAAGTTAAATTTAATCACATTGCATTCTGGAAAATAGAGAATAAATAATTAATTAGATGATAATTAATTAGATTAGAATGCTGCGCTGCAGTTAAATATATATATATATTTTTCGAGTATTCATTTGCTCATGGACTCTAAATTTTCTCAGGTAAAAGTCAAATATCTTTTGTACACAAAGGTGTCATATTATTAAATTTTTTGTGAGGCTGCATCTACAGAAGTTCTCCGCTGTTCTCCAGGAATTTGTTCAAAGTGTAAAATGGTCTTTCCTTCAGCCAAATCTTCAAATCTTTGTTTAGTTTGTCCCCAGTAAAGTTCTTTATGGATGCTGGTGAATTTTTCCGAAGCTTGCAGGAAGAAAGCTTGAACTCTATCCCATAATCCTTATCAGCCACTTTGCTTTCCTTTTTCATGATATAGGCCTAACTAATAAGGAACCTTATCTTACGCAGGAGCCACCACTAGACTTTGAGCCTCCTGCCAAGATACCTCGAGTGTCTCGTAACCGTCCCAGCATGTCACCAGGCAATGCAGTGTACCAGGCGGCCATGTCTGGGCTGAAACAAGGAGGACAAGGACACCCTCTGCTGCCCAAGTTGGTGCCTGCGCCTTCGCCACCAGGCCTGATACGTGGCCGCGGTCGACCACAGATGATCAACCGCTACCTGGGCGACATGCGCACGTCGTCTGTGCTCGCTGCGCAACAGAAGGCCATGGCCGCTTCAATGAGGCCAGGTGAGTTACAACTGGGGTTGTAAAAAACAAATGTTTGCTAGCACACATCATTTTGTATAATTAAAGGTAGGCCTTTTAAAAGTCCCAATTAGTCAATATCTAGAAGTATAGCTTAAAAATCTAAAACCAGAATGTTTGTTTTGTGTTTCTAAATTATATTTATGACAGATCTTTAATATTATCAGGCTGAAGACTCATCTAGTAACTCACAACAGCACCTTTTGATTTTATCCCCTATTTTCCAATGGGGCCAAGAGATGTAGCCTACAATAAATCTCAGTGACTACAGTTAAAATACTATTCTGTTATAGCTCAATAAAATTGCAATTTGATTTTGTCGCATCTGTACCTAGATGCAAACAAAGGATCAGGTGCTTGAAATAAAACACACTTTAATTTGAAAAAAACCACATTGGCGTGTGTGAGCCGGTGGTGTAGAACGATGTGGTAGCAGTGGGTTATTTGATTAGGCTATATGATGTCATATTGTATATCTAACGGTACTTGGACCGAGCTAGCAGGTTAAATACAATAACCAGTAGAATTACAAATCGAGGAATATACGATGGATTCAAGATAATATACTACAGATTTCTTCTGTAAAAATTCTAAATAATGAAAAGGTTTAACTTGCAGACTTGTTGCTAGTAGGATAAATAATAGTTAAGGATTAGGCCATTTGATGATTTTTTTCTAAAGGAATTTTAAGAAAGAAGTTTTTACTTTTATTACGCTCAATTAGTTTTAATCTATTATTATTGTAGGCAATGCAAGTGTACGTACAACACTTTACCACTCGTCTCTAGTATTTTATTCAATTTGTTAGATGTTACACAGTGTTTTTGAGAAATATATTATAGTATAACAACATAACATGTTGCCCAGGAATGCTGTATCGACCGTCAGGATCAAACTCACAACCGCAAGTTCTGCTACCAGCCTCCTACCAGCTGGCCAACTCACAACTATACCAGGTGTGTATTTAGCTGAAATAATCCCTTCGCACATTATTGATCACCAAAGGTTGTGAAGTGGCACCAACTTGTGTATATGCACCTAAATATTGTTTGGTGCATCAACATATTTAGTGATTCAGTCCGTACTTTTCAGATGTAAATATTTTAAGCCCAAATGCAGTTCTAGGTTTTTAGTTTTTTTAAATGTCATCTTCATTTTCATGGTAGCACATTTTTTACCCTGGTGTTTCAGTATTGGTAGTAAAATACCCCTGCAAATAACAACAAATGTCTAGTTGGTTTGGAATTTTAGTTATTTGTTTATAATAAATAGAACTTTACAAGTTGATTTTGTCTAGTGAAAAGTGCTACAAAATGTTATATGGATATTATTAGTAAACTATTTCAAAACTAACATTAATTGGAACTTGGGTCGAAATTAGATAGTTGAAAACCGAACAATAAATTTTAATTTCTTGTCCTTTTGAATTTTTGTTCATTTCATCTCATCCTACATGATGTACAATATACCTAAGAATAAGTTAAAGTAGATATCTTGGATTTGGAATGTTAAATATTTTTTACCATTTTTAGCTTGTGAGGATAGCATTATTTTATACAAGTCTAGCAAGCATTACTTTAAAGACAGTAGCAATGCCTAAAGCACTAGCTTCAAATAATCTGTATACTAATATATTCTTAGTAGTTAGATATAACATACCATCATTCCTAATAGAAGCCTAATCTATTGTTCAATTTCTTTCTGTTCTGAAGGACCAAATGTCCCTATATCAACAGATGGTAAGCTGATTCACACAGTACACTAATTGCATGTTCTAAATGCATGCAGGTGCAGGTCTATGTCTTCCGTTGACAATGATTTTCTTTCTTTATTTCTCGGTACTTATTTTCTCAAAAAGAAATATGTTTCTCCATGTTAGTCTTACAATATGTGTTTCTGTGTGTGTGTAGAGTTATATTAGATACAACACTTTGGAGAAATGTGTTAAGATTGTGACTATTTGTAAATTTTAAAACATATTAGTATTAGTTACATATTAACTTTTGACCTGAAGTTCTTACTAAAGGAAACTAAAACTTTATGAAATCAACAATGTTCACTTCTTATTCGGATAGTAAAGTTTTATCTGTGTTTATCTATGTTTGTTTTTTTCTGTGTGCTAGAGAGGTTTAGTCCTTAATTTATCTGTTTATAAGGATTATCCTTCCAAACCCATTATTAACGTGATTGTCAAAAAATTTTGTTGTAAGGAATATACTGTAGCCTTTAACATTCACAATTAAAACTTTCGTCAAAACCAAAATCTGTATGACATATATAATGTACTGTGCTATGTTACTAAAAAAAAAAAAATAAAACCTTCGTAAAATTTAATAATATATTTAATCAGATTAAGTGTGAAAGGTAAAGCAGAGTAGCAGTAGCCTACAGATCTACCAACGTTCTTTATTTTCCTCATTACTTTGTCCGTTTAACTAACTTAAACTGTTCCAGACAATTTTTCATTCTATACCTTTTAATAAAAACAGTTTTCATCAGTTGTATATTTGCATGTTTTTTTAGAGTCAACCATTGCAGCAAGATATTCAAAAAATAGGAATAATAGATGCCCCAACTGAAAACTTTATCGGGGTATTATCACTAACTGACAGTAAATAACATACAGGGTGAATTGCTCAACCGGGAGAAAAAATTCCATGAAATCGCCATGAAAAAAATATATTGTGTCTGTATAGATCCTCAATCCCACAAAACTGTCAATTCTGACGGTAGCGACTTTGGATTCGTGGTGAAATCCTGACCATGTGCCACGATCGCGACGTGACTCAGTAAACATCTGCTCTCGCGATCGCAATGTCGTCAGAAATTGTCAATCTCGTAGTAATCATAATATTAGTGTGCATTGCAATGTCATCACTATAGTCCATAATTGCAGAGACATTATTTATTGTCTTCACAATTACGACATCCGGAATTTTTAGTGCACAATCTTAGCAGACGCTCTCTGCTATTGTGAGGGTAAAAGCTTAATTGTTTGAGCTAGATTTTGATACGTGCTCGAGCTTCAAGCGGATAATATTTTAACTTATAAACATTCTGGCTGTAGTGTGTCGACTATGCCTGGTAACCTCAGGAACATTGCTGTCGCGTGCAAACACTGCTTCGTTTATTTCTGAGGTCCGCCTTGTACCCAGCCTGTACAATGACCCCTAACAACATCTAAAAACAAATGCAAAATATGTCAAAGACAATACGGTGATTTTGATTATCAACCTTGTAATATGTTTGTAGTAGGAATTTTAATTTTTGATAGAACATTACACCACCTGCGATCAGTGAATAGGCTGGTAAAGTCAACACTTGTAGTAGTTGGTGGTTGTTAAGTGTTGGATGTGTTGCACAGGTGACCAATCACAGGGGAGGACTCAGCATCGGCCCTCCGCCCCTCTCTCTCCCTCAGGTATCTCCTACGGCTACGGCTGGCCACATGCACGTCTATACTCTAAACACACCTTGGGCAAAACAGAATTTTGATACCTGTTTTCTAACATCTTAACCCTCTCTGAGTGTGTTTTTTCTGCAAAGACGAGCATTTTTAAGTGTGGTATCTCTTTTGGTTTAATTGAAGTGCAGAATTTCCAGACAATTACAGTAAACACATTTTGGGCGAGTGTCTTACTACTCAACTAACCAAACAATAAAAAAAAAAACTTTCAAATACGTTATATATTCCCACTGTCAAACAAACTTAACTCACTACTCATAATTTCTAAGAGAGGCTATCTATGTTTTCATTAATAACCGTGTTTTGCCAATTATAATCAGCTGGTGTCCGTTAAAAATTCATTACAGTTCATTCTTACATAATGAAATTCCATTTGATCAAGCAGGCGATAAAGAGCTGTTTTCCGGACTAAATAATTGTGTGGAAACAGTTAAAACAGTGTAGCAATAAAATATTTATATTTTTAAATTTTAGATGCTCAGTAAGTTTGAATTAAGTTTTTAAACTCGGTAATTTTTTTACGGCCTCTGGGGACATAAAAACAAGTAAAGGGGTCCCGGGTCTAGGTCTAACCATTAGACCTATGGATTCTCTCTATATGGGAAATTCGCCTAAATTAACTAATGCACATGTAGAAACTGGGAGCTTAACATGGAGAACTTGCACAAGAAAAGCAATTCTGCTAATTGATCAAGAAAGTGTATTTATTTCCTTAAAGGGGGTGGTGGTTTCCACAACCTTGCAATTCGCAGTCCACTTAAGCCTGGATTTTAGGGGAAGCGAGGGGTGAGCCGTTTCAATACCGATACATTTTTGTGGTTGCATCGGAACCCAAACCCACAACATGGTGTGCCATCCTACCGACTAAGTTCTGAAAAATTTCACAAACTGTTATTTCCTCCTCATCTAGAATTGATGGGAACAACAACCAATTCCAAGCCATGTTGTTGCTCTTTTGTCCAAAACATATCAAATGTAACCAATCTTTGTCTGCTACTTTTAACCGACTAACTGTGTCACCTTCTGCGTTTAACACTTATGCTACTTCTAACATTTTCAGGTGGTGTCAATAATCTCCTTATCCATTTTTATATTGCAAGTGGTATATTAATAAGGGCTTGAATTAATCTATTAATGGTTTTTGAACAGTTTTTTATATTTATTTTTTTATTGAAAATTGTGTTAAATAGGGTGTGAAAGTTTAAGCTACTATTTTAATTAGGTATTGTTGGATTGCTGTTAACGACATAATGGTTGGTTTATAGGTTAGAGTGGTGACTTGCATTGCTCCATTAATATTGATGACATTGTTCTTTATCAATTTAATTTATAAATCCAGTTAACAAAAAAAAAAAAAAAAAAAATTGATGGCCATTTCATGTTTTCTTGAAGCTTATTTTGAAGCTATTATTTTCTGTGTATTGCATAACAATACGATTGTCATAACGGTAAAAACTGCAATAGTGAAGAGTCAAAACACATAGCTTTGTTTCAATTGAAATACACTACTGTACCGTAATCTTTATACCTCAACAGGTGGTTTGTATCTGCCGGATGTTTGAATTATTGGGATTCTGGTGTATGTCTAGTTAGTAGAACATTCAAAATGATTCAGTAATTTTGAATATATACCTCTATGCGTGTACTGTTATATTGTATTAAGTAACTAGTGCAATATTAGGCATAGTAATGTTTGGCTTATTAATTTTTCTGAAATAATTTTTTAGAATCGTCCTTGAAATGAAGAGGCTAGATAAAAAAAAAGAAATAGTTGAGCTGCTTTTGAAAAAGCAAAGCTATCAGTTTAAAATGGTTTGCCTAAGTTAGAGGTTTATGGTTTATCCCTACTCATGTACGTGACGTTGTGTTTGTGATGTAGCAGAACGTGGCGGCTAGTGTGGCCAGCAAGACGTCAGTGACACCCGTCGGAGCCTCTACAGCCAAACTGCTGCAACAGCCGAGCATCTCCATCACACCTCTACCTCGGCAGCAGCAACCCCCGCCCTCGCCTGCACCTGCGCCTCCCCCCGCCAACAAGCCTGGCCGCCCCGCCGGCTCTAGCAAAGCCACCTTTGTCATCTGTGAGATCTGTGACGGATATATCAAGGTACTTCCCTCTAAAGAGATTATATCAAACTTGCACATAGTGTTGTAGAATCTGCATTGATGACTGCCTGGGTTTCAGTGTTGTCAAAGACCCTGGATCAAAAAATTCCCAAGGCTATTTCTCTCAATTTTAACCCTTTCTCTTCTGAGGAATGACTAATGGGTTGAACAACATGATTTAATCCATGTAATTGATTGTTTTGAAAATGTATACCCATCAAGCTTTTTTGAAAGCTTTGTGGTTAATGGTTAACACAATCAAAGGCCTTGGAAAGAACACAGAAGATCCCCATGGTACTCTGTGATACATCCAGAGCCAATAAATCCAAATTGCTCAGCAGCTAGAATGAGTGTGCCTCAAAAAATATTGAAATTTGATTTTAGTGCTACATTTTCAAAAAAATTGGAAAAGAAGGAAGATGCGAAATGGGATAATAGTTATATGGATTTTTTCTGACCTTTCTGGAAAAAGAGAATTTACCCCTGTATATTTTCAATTTTCAGGAAAAACTTAAATTTTTGAAAGATAGATTTATTAAAACTACATAGGAACAGCAATAGAGTTTTTCATAATGTCCAACAGTATCAGATGACGATATTTGCTAATAATTAAGTGCTTAATCATGACACAAAATGTCAATAGGACCTGGAGCAGTTGAGGAACCACATGCAGTGGATACACAAAGTGAAGATACATCCCAAGATGATCTACAACCGACCGCCACTCAATTGTCAGAAGTGTCAGTTCCGATTCTTCACGGACCAAGGACTAGAGAGACATCTACTGGGCAGTCATGGTCTGGTCACCAGTAGTATGCAGGAGGCAGCTAACAAGGGCAAGGACGGAGGCCGCTGTCCCGTCTGTGGCAGGGTGAGTCATGTACACCAAACACACAATTTGGCTAAGTAAATATCTTAATGAGAATGTAGACCACAATGGCCTAGGTTTTTATTTTCCTTAACTTATGAATTTAAAAGTTACGATAAACTACCTGTTGGGATTGAGACTACCAATCACTCCATTGACAAGTATGAATAGAAAAATGCTGTGTTGCTTCGAATCGAGTTGCATCGATTCTAATCAAAAACTTTTAAATCGAATCGTTGCTTTGAATTGAAAATTTTTTACTGCTTCGCACACCCTTCAATTTGATACTGGATTTTCTTGGCACGTGATTTGTTCCGATCGTCGGTGATTTCGCCACGTCATGAGTGACGACATATGTTAACCTTTCAGAGGGCGCATTGGTTTTCAAAACGGGAGAGGGCGCACCCGGAGGTTACTTCCAGGTCAATAAAAACAAACATTTATGAAGTAAAATTTGTATTTTAGTGCACAAATTAAGTTTTATTTTTAATTTTAAACATAAAAATGCGTTTAGTGAAATCTTAATAAATTATAAAATAACGTAATTTAGATTTTATAAATATAAAATTAAACTATTATTCTATCAAATGTTATGACATAAAAGTATATGAAGAAATCTTTTACAAGAATATATTCAAGAAGTTAATTTAAATTTTACCACAATGTCCTATAATGTGGTTTTAGATGATAACACTCTCAATACCTGATGTTTTAAGTAATTTAACATATTAGGTATCTTAATACTAAATGACTCTGTACATACGTCGTTCGTGAATCTCCCTTTCAGCACGGCTAAGAGTGTTGCAATTTGAAATTTTAACTTCTTCACTCATCTTGTAAAAACTATATATTTACTAAATAATGCCATGAATTGTAAAAAAATAATTATTTACAGTAGGCCTAATTTTTTACACGCAATAATGAACGCACACACTAAACTAAAGGTCACATCACGGATGTTGCCTCCAGGCTGTATAAGAATCGACAGGGCGCACACGGAAGTTACTTCCAGCCTCTTACAAAATTGAACAAAACTAACAAATATTAAATAGTAGGGGTGAGTTTTGACCTTCACTCGATTCTAGGAATGAGGTGCGTATGGTACAGTAACACTCACACTGCCGACACCACTCAAAATAATATAATCGCGAAAAATAAAACATCCCTGGAGGTTACTTCCGTGATGCGACCTCTGGAAGGTTAACAAAGGTACCGTGACCACGAAACGAAAAAGGTGTATTAAGATGGAGAATGAACCAAGTTTTGGTCGGGATTAAAAAAAAATTGTAATGAAAAGTCGGGAATTCCATTTGAGAAATCTAGTAGACACCCTGTTGTACGAAAATGCTTCAAAACTTTAAATATTTTATACATTGTCTGTCTGGCGCAGGTTTACCAGTGGAAGTTGCTGAACCACGTGGCCAGGGACCACAATATGTCGCTGAAACCGGCGCATCTGTCATACAAGTGCACCGTGTGTACAGCCACGTTCGGCATGTACAAGCAGTTTGAGAACCACGTGTACTCGGCTCACAGTGTGGTGGCCAAGCGAGTCATGGACAAGAAGCCTTCGTCGTCCAGTCAGCCCTCGACCAGCTCCCAGGTATGTAACTCACGATCTTTGACTATTACATTCCACCAACATAATTATCAAATTAAGCTGTCACCTATTTTGAATCAGAATTGATTACGTAGTTGAATTTAGCCACTGACATAGGGTGCTGTATATATTACTGGTTTCTTTTAAATACACATAAACTGTTTAAACAGAAAACTCAAAATATGACTTACTGTAAGCTACACTGTGTGAATGGTTCTTTCAACTGTTGTTATTTTTTTTTTTTTTATAACTAATTTAAAAAAAAGTCATAAATTTGGCCCAAATTGATGTGATGTTGACTTCAGTACTTGAAAGTCAATGGTTATAAGTATTATTTGAATGGTTTGGTTAAAATTTCTTTTCTTGCAGGGTGATATGCTTAAACCACTGAAGATAAATGATGAAATCACGATAATCCCTCAACCTGCTAGGTCTAAGACAAAACCTGCCGGATCTAACAATCGCCCACAGAAAAAGGTGAGTTCTTTCAATCGTTAGCTGTATCTAAAATGTGAAATGTCAGTTTCAAAAATATGCATTTTCGCTAATTGAAAGGTCGGTCTTTTTTTTTAAAGCATATAAAAAATTAAACCATCTACTTGGACATGATGACAGAATGACCCAAATTTATTCTGTAATTGGACAGAATATTTCTGCATTACCAATACGTGTAAAGTTGATAAAATTTGACGTTACAGATTTTCCATTCAATACCTAGAGACTACGTCTAAAGCTGCATTTTACTCATATTTTTTGTTTGGCTAGGTCAAAATCTATGAACCATGTATTGTTTTGCAAGGACAGATAACTTACCCACAAACATTAATTATAAATGTCTATGAACACTTTGCCCTATCACTAAACGATTCAATCTGTTTGTTTCAGGTGTAAACTCCCCCCGATCTACACTTAGTGTGTCGTCCGCTGTAGTTAATTATTATATTACTATAAGTCGTTTTCTTTATTTAGAAAGGTTTTTATATATTTTGAGTTTGTCAAATGTAAAATTTTTGTATACCGTAACTTGTACATAGCACACTTTAGAGAATGACTGTCGGAGGTGCGGTGTGTGTGTCATGACCCGTGTATAAAGCTGATGTATAGATATTCACGAGATTTGTAATTTTGTATCAGGGGGTTTGGCTCTTGGTGCCTGAGCTCTGCTTTTTGGTAGTTTTCTCTACGTCATGATTAAGCCAGTGACCTTTTTAATTTTGACGGTTATTTGTATATAAGTTTGATATTGAATGTGGGTTGATGATATTTTATTGGTAGATAAGCTAATCTCTGTTCTCGCCGAGCGGAACAGTTTTTAAATTTCCCTTGTGTATAATTTATTCCGTAATAATTACTCCGAGAAATTCCAAAGTGTGAGACTTGACTTTATAAGTACAGTATCATGTGAATAATGGGTCTATTGATATAACAATGTTCCATGAATAAATATTTTGTTCCAATTAGATTTTTTCTATTCCTGGTTTTCTCAGTTTAGCTAGAGATAAATGAGATTATTCCACAATGTTAAATTACAAGTAACTAGGATCTACATTGTAAACAGATACTATTTTACCTACGACTGTTTTAAATTTTAAGTATAAATTTATATTTTCATAAATAACCAAAATCTATCTTTAAATTGTTGGTAAAATGTGTTATACTTTATTGTCCATTTACAGTTGTATATTTATTTTGTCCATTTGAAACAATATTTATAGGTACATTATGGAGTACCTAAATATACATGTATATAAAAAATGTTTTTATTCTTAATTCATGACTCAATCAGATCCTCAAATAGTTCATATTTCATGTGCGGGGTGGATTAAAAATTACATGACACAGTTTAATTAATGTATTTTTGATGATTCAATAACTACTAATGGTGCATTTAGTAAAAAAGTAATAGAATTTTAGAACAAAATACAACATTTTTTAAACAGGTTGTTTTGGGAGCTGCAGTAACCTTTAATTAACTAAACTAACACATTTTAGTATTTTTTTAGGTTTGGTGTAAATTGAACAAAACTTCTATTTCCTTATCAGCTACTTTGCTAAAAATTTATTTTCTTGAAATTCAGAATTTTTTGTTAATTGTGTGCTTTTAAAATGTAACCCAAACAGCAGAGTTTCTTTCTTGTAGCAAACCTGTACTATTTGAGCCAATGTTATAGTGATATGGGTGTGAAGAACCCTGTCAGTTAGGGTTAGAAAGATAATGTCAGAGAAAGTAGAAAGTTCAGGAATACTATACTTTATTTTAAATTTTTTACTTCTTAAATTGATTAAATATACACAGTAAGACAGTAACACAGAAGTTTACAACATTCACAACTTGGGGCAGAGCCAGTCACCGAAGTAGCGTACATCGGTAAACACACTCGGTGCGCTGAGCTCGCAAGAGCTGAGTCCTAGGGAGACGATGCCTTGTTGGACGAGATTACCTGAACCGTCGGTCTGTACTAGCGGACCGCCACTGTCTCCCTGTCATAGGTTTATGATTAAAATTTATAGATTTAGTAAATATTATAATTATATGGGTATCCAATTGGTTACAGTGCTTTCCTTTATGAAGGGGGTTGGTTTTTATTTTCAAGCAAAAATGTTTTCAGAGCTAGATGCCAAATTTGTTGTTTGGCTATCAATCAGTAATGCTATCTACTAAAAGGCTGACATAAGATAATAATTAGGGCAGAGTGTGGACTGTTCCTATACAAAAAAAACTTATAAAATATTAATATAAGTAGTGATCTCACCCTGTGCTGACAAGATCTGCCCCAATAAGTCAAAAGTAACCTGAGGTTTGCTCAATGCTAGGAGAAGTCCTAAGTCAAAAATTTGTTTTAAAGCCAATTTGGACTTCTGCAGTCATAATATTAGGGAAAAGTTATAAAAATAGGTGTCATTCAATCTCTAAATAATTCAAAAAGGGTTCTTTAAAATAATAGTAAATGGGTCTGTTGAACACCTTGGCTCTGCTATTTCCACTTACATTACAAGTGCTCTTCCCCCCAGCTCCACTAGTGCACAGTTGACTCTCTATGACGTCGTATTTAGCCACTGTCTTGAAAAAAGTAGTGCAAGAGTCTTGAGGCTCCCCTGACACTACAACGTACATCAGGTTCGACGTTGTCTTTTCTAAACGGAAACAAATAATGCAACTTGACACAAATACTTCTGTGTGATAAGAATATTTGACTTTTTACTGCTTCTCATGTAGGGACTTTTTCATGGACGAAAAATTTTTGTTTATTGGTTATACAAAATGAATGGTTATAAGAAGGAAGAACACAATTAACACACATAACTTTAGAGAGGCCCAGGCAGTTGTAGCACAGTTGACAACACAATTAATTTACTTGATGTTTCACGCCTTCAATTGTCGGAAGGGAATAATTTTCTGTGCTATCGAATCAACTGCCTAGAACTTTTCTTGGTCGAGTTAACATGATTCCTTAATCGTTCAACAAAGACAAAATACTTTCTCCTTCTATAATCATAATCTATTTAAATAAGACACCCTAAATTACTTACATTTTTGCTTTAATATTCTCACATATTGTAAACTGTGGGAAGATTGAAAATGTATCCCTTATTCATTGCTAGTGTATTTTCCTCATGTAACTACATGCACTAGGATTTATTAGTTGAAAATGCCTGTATATCTTCAATGAAAGGTATACTTCATCAGTCAACAGATACAAAATAATCATTGTTAACTCACTGTTCGATGTCTTCCCCCAACCAGAGACAGTGAAGTTATTCTTATTGTCCGAGTCAGCTGTCAGTTCATTAGAACAGCTGGGCAGTTTGACAGTGCAAATGTATTCTGAAAACAATCATTTACATTATACATTGACTATACATACATAAGTACAAGGATAGGCCTACTCAAGTAATGGGGTTAAGAAGATTAAACTTAGTTTAACCTGATTCCCCAACAGAGTGCACTTCTGTAAAAATGTATAATTCTTAGCCTAAATATACCTTGTAATCATTTAAATCCTTCTTGTCTCACTTTGAAATTAAGAGGAAATAGATCTTAAAATACTGTTCCCTTTAGAGTTAAAAACTGGGGTAGGTAATCCATATAGATATGATGTTTTCTTCAGTATCCAATGAAAATTATCGTACCAAGATGGCTGGAAAGTAAAAGTAAACGGATATTCTTTAGTAAATTTGTATGTAGTAGTATAAGTCCGAAAGTACACCAGATAAAATGTTCATAACTAACCATTGAGTGTGACTGCTCTCGGAAGTTTGACAATGCCAATGTCATTGTGGATGCTGTTTGAATCGTACTTCTCGTGGTATTGCAGACCAGAAGAGTAAACCCTAATTACTTGTCGCCCAGGCTCGTAATACTGGCTCAGGTCTAAGCCTCCTAGAACTGCTACAGCTGACTTTGCCCTGAAAATGTTGAGTTATAATTTAATTTAACTGTCTTGAGTGTAAACATAAACATTACGCAAATGCTTTATTATAAATTAATAGAACATCTGTTTTGGTTTGCTGGGTGTTGCCACTTTAGTTTTGCCGCAGCTTTGTAGTAGAGAAGTAAAATCTATTTTTCTGTAAATCTTTGTAGTAATTGACTAGAGAGAAAATAACTTGTTCTTCCTGTTGGTGAAAACTATACAACTTTGATTGAATGCATGACAAATGAAGAATAATTTAGTATAACATAACAATAATAATATCAAGGATAACACGTCCTTTAACAATGATTTGTAGTTGCAACCTGCATTAATTTAACAGCAATTTTTCCTTGTACTGTACTGATATAGATTACCCCTTGTGTTGCCTGATACATTTTAAACGAGTTTGGCCAGATTAACGTAGGCCTACAGAGGAAGCAAGCCTTATTCCTAACAAACAGATGCTATCTAAGAGATCCCGGATACATTTCCTATAATTACTCCATAGTTATTCCTCAGAAGAGTCAGTAAGGTGTCCTACCCCTGAACGCAATGTGCTGCTGTGAGGATGGTCTGAGACGAGACCAGAGATCCACCGCAAGACCAGCTGTTGCGGCCGTCACTGAACTGTAGATACACCTGGTAGCAGAACTGTCCTCTCACTGCGGCCTGGCCGTTCACGATCTTCAGCGAGTGACGGGCTACACAAACATGCAACATACTTATGTGTGTAGAATCTTTGACTCAAGAACATTTCCAAACTCGCCTGCAGCTCGTGCGTTAACATTTCTTTTAAGTGCAGCAAAGTGCCACTTTGCTCACTAGTTACCCAAATAACTATTGATTGCATAAAAATCAATTAGAATAATCTTTTGTTTTTGCACTATTTATGCTTAAAAATGAAATGATAACTTAAAATCTTACTTACCTTCATTGGATGTTAGATTTACAGCATCAAGAAAAATATTTCTAGATGGAGTAGAAGATATATCAAACACTGGTTTCCTTCCAATCTATAATAGTTGAAAATATAAAATAGTTACAGTTAAATCTGGCAACTATACTTATAGTAAATCACTTTTCCTAATATAAAAATAAAACACCAAGAAACAACTCAAATTTCAAAGTTTTAGTCATTAACTTGTAATAAGTTACATGATATTTGAAATGACATGTGACTAGAAACCCATCGCGACAAAAATAAGAGGCAAAGATGATTAGTTAATAGTTTGGGGATTTGTAGAATGTTGCGACATAGAAAGGACACTAAATACAGTATAAAAAAAACTTCCTATAATTAGTATAATTTAAGTTTGATGTATAAATAATACATAATATGCCAAAATGCATTTTCAAAAATACTGAACATATAGTAGGTCCAATAAGAAAAATGAATACCTCTACAGCTTTTGAAGACTGAATAAACCCAAAGCACAAAAGAGTTGTGAAGAAAAACAACATGGTTGGTAAGTTGATGAGCGTCTTGCACAAATTGGCAGAAATAGACCTTGTTTTGGTTAATTTGCAACTAAACAATCAGAAGAAGCAAAATCTCCATGGCTTATTGCTATCTACATTGTAAACCATCATAATCTCATAAGTACCTAAATAATTCCTAGAAGTCAAGGTCTAATAGCAAACCATACTGTTTTCTCCGAATAAACTTTTGAAAATACAACTTTTGATAAGACTGAAATACTTTTAAATAAGTATTTTCTTAAATACTTTGATGCAAGAGCAAAGTACACATCAGAAATATTAAGTGAGTCTTTCAACAATTACCAAAAAACCGGAATTTGTAATTCTGGTAAATATTTTAATAATCAATTACAACAAATAGAATAATAAGTAAATCTTTCAAGGATAATCAATAATGTCTGGAATAAAAAACGCTGAATACTTTTAAATATGTACATCAAAATACTGCACCCTTTAAAAATTTTAATTTGTTGAACGTTCTGTTTCACTCATTTCTTATATTTCAATTTTTAATGATTTCATTATGTGTTTGTATTTGTAACATTTTGTTCAAATTCTTTTGTGATGTGCTGCAATTAATTTCTATTTCATAGAATATGACATTTTACAAGCGAGTGGTCAGTCATTTTCAAAACTGGTTTTTCACAATGAAGACGTTGACCTCAAAACAAAGACGCCTGAATTAGTGTTTTTGACCAAAAAACTTGTGTGTTAATATGCCAATTTAGATGTTCATCAATTATCTAAAAAAAATGGTCGATTTCAGTTGATTGATTGGTTTGTTATTTAGAGTAGTTTTGGGGTTAGGTATTTAATATTTGCATGAAAGACAGTTAAATTTTCACTGTTCAGGTGCCATTTGCAAAAGTGAAACTATACCGACTTTTCTGTTGAATTTAGGTAAGGACACAATGCCATCCGTTAAAATAAATGATAAATAATTTGATACTTGAAAAATACACTATAGGTTAAGAAGGGGTTACTGTAAGCGTGGATTAAACCAACACTGACGATCTTTTTCAACAATCGCAGTTCCCTGATGAGTTTTCTAAAAGCCTTAAAGAGAGTGGAACACCAGATAAGTCTTAAACTTGACAATTTTGTGATACTAATGCTGAGTTTTAAAAGCAGGAAAAGGCATCACTGATGAAACTCCAATGAAAGTTACTGCACTGTATAGGAAATAGCATCCAGTGTAAATTTCAATAAGAGCTGAGTCGATGTTAGCCAATTTTAATTACTAAAATTTAATCTCCATCCCACATTTCTAAGACTAATAAAGATGTAGAACAATCAAGTCACAATAATTTGTTATAACTAACTCATTCTTTTAATTTTTCTATTTTCTTTTCTTTTAACTTAACGTTGTAAATCTTTTTCTTCCTATTGTTGCCTTTTGTTTTTTTCAAAGTTCTTATTTGATGTTGTCACCCGTTGTTACTTCTTTTGTTTTCTAAATTCATTTGTTTTATTTAACGTTTAGTCACACCTGTAACAGTCTTATGTCTCTTACACCCTTTCACCTCTCTACAACAGCTAAGCGAGTGTAACTTAAAAAAACCTTATTTTAAAGGTGCCCATACACGTACCGGCAAGCCTGTCAGTTCTGCCTGAACAGTCCGCCGGAGACCGGCGGACTGTTGGACTGACTACCCCATACACGTTCAGTTCAATTCTGTCCGGCGAGCGCTTCAAAACACATTGATTTCTTCGTGCGTTTAGTTTTTAGTAGTTTAAAAAGATTTGCAAGTTTTTTTGTGTAGTTATTTATTTTCTAAAGATTATTTATAGTTCAAAATGTCTAGTGATGACGATGATTACGCAGTTTTAGGTTTATTACTAGCAGTAGTTCCTACCAAAAAACGGCGAAAAAAACGTGAGTGTTGGTCGAAAAGCTGGTTGATGAAGAGGGACACGTATTCTCACATAAATTTATTAAAAGAGTTAAAGGTGACTCCAAAAGACTGGCATAATTACTTAAGAATGGACGAAAATACGTACCTAGTTCTTTTGTCACTGGTTGCTCCATTGATTGAGAGGGAAAACACTGTGATGAGGAATGCCATATCTCCTCACGAACGTCTAACCGCTACACTTAGATTCTTAGCTACTGGGAGGAGTTTAGAGGACCTAAAGTATTCAACAGTCATATCCCCACAAGCACTAGGAAAAATTATACCAGAAACCTGTGAGGCGATCTACCAAGTTCTCCAAAAGGATCACTTGAAGGTAAGAGAAATAATATATATGAGCATATTAAAAAGAGAGAATTTTATTTCATGTCTGCACACAAACACAACACATAGTTAATACAGTATAAAAAAAAGGTTTATGTTGAGCGATTAAACAAATTTACCACATATTCTATAAGTCTACATATTGTATGGACACTCTGTAAATGTAACACATAATTCAATGGTTATCAAACTTCCGAAATTAAAGCACAATACTGTACTAATTTATAACTTGTTGACTTGTAACTTGTTGACAATAACTTGTTGTAATAATTTAAGAAACATCATTGTATTCTGAGAGGAAAGTTACAAGTTCATTTGTAGTACGCTGGTCTTGTGATTGTGACGCATTCAAGTCAACGTAAACCTGTGAGTTGGGTGGAGGGGTTACGTTTTGGTTGGATTGTGGTGATTGGTATGGGGTGGAATTTCCGTGCTGCGAACTAATGGATGTAGATGGGGAATAATTGGTTGTAGAAATATTACGCATCGGAGGAAACTGTCGTGGTGAAAAGGACTGGTATTGTTGGTATTCATATGGTCTTTGGTTAACCAACGCAAAATTACTGCCTAAATTACCACCCTCTGCTTCAAACAAAACATCATTTATAAACTTTTCTGCCCACCGGCGTTGATCGTTTGGCAATTCCCTCAATTTGAGTGCAATCGTTTTTCCAAAAGCATCAAAGCGATCATCAGGGTTTTTTGGTGTCTTAAAATGATTTTGAACGGTAGTTAAAACTTCATGTGTCAATGTAACATTATCTGCTGGTTTTGGTCTCGATGATACTTTAGAGCGATTTACATTGCTATTAGATGATGCGGGTAAAGCAGTACTTTCGATGTCGTGCACTTCGATGTCTTCGCTAGGAGCAATCCGCATACTGTCATCATGCACATCTACGCTCGGCGTGGATTCCTCATTCTGAAAAAAAAATACGGGATGTAATTCCCTAATTTTAAGTAAAATAGTCTAATAAAATAATAATATAATTATATAATTATTATATATAATATATATAATATTCTATTATATATATATTATAATAAGTTATAATATTATTATACATTTTAATAATATTATTATAATTATAATATATATTATAATTATATATATTATAATTAGTTACATTATATTATAATATATATAATATTATATTATACAGGGTGAGTTTTAATTGTCCCCCTCCCCAACTTTTTTCTACATTTTTTCAAATATCAATCCCAGACCACTTCCAAACATTGTTGGGTAGTAAGTACTTCATTTTGACAAGGTCTTCATTTCCGGCCGCCATCTTGGATCCGCCATATTGGATGCAAAATTTTTTTTTCAAATGTAAAGGTGGGGTTGTGACCCATTATTTCGAACTACATTTTTACCCTGATTACAATGCCGCAAACCATTTTCAAAAATCTTGGTTCATTCTAAAGTTACGAGGGCTTTTTAAAACATTATTTTTAGCCCATTTTAACATTGTGCATTTACAAACTAAGACCATAATCCCAAAATAGTGCTAGATAATGATAAGTATACACTACTAGTAATTGTCCACCTATTTTCACTTGATTATGACTGATGTATTTTTTTCGGCCGCCATCTTGGATCCGCCATTTTTAAATGTGATAAATTATTTTAAATATGAACGGGGTGTTGTGACCCATCATTTCGAACTACTTTTTTAAGCTGAACTTAATTCCATAATCCGTTTTTCATTTTCATTTTTTGATTTTGAAATATTGACATTTTTAACAAAAAAAATTTCAATATTTCATAAATAAACTTGATAACAAAAAATGGATTGCGGCATTGAGTTTAGCTTAAAAAAGTAGTTCAAAATGATGGGTCACAACACCCCGTTCATATTTAAAATAATTTATCACATTTAAAAATGGCGGATCCAAGATGGCGGCCGAAAAAAATACATCAGTCATAATCAAGTGAAAATAGGTGGACAATTACTAGTAGTGTATACTTATCATTATCTAGCACTATTTTGGGATTATGGTCTTATTTTGTAAATGCACAATGTTAAAATGGGCTAAAAATAATGTTTTAAAAAGCCCTCGTAACTTTAGAATGAACCAAGATTTTTGAAAATGGTTTGCGGCATTGTAATCAGGGTAAAAATGTAGTTCGAAATAATGGGTCACAACCCCACCTTTACATTTGAAAAAAAAATTTTGCATCCAATATGGCGGATCCAAGATGGCGGCCGGAAATGATTACCTTGTCAAAATGAAGTACTTACTACCCAACAATGTGTGGAAGTGGTCTGGGATTGATATTTGAAAAAATGTAGAAAAAAGTTGGGGGGGGGACAATTAAAACTCACCCTGTATAATATATTATATATAATAATCATAATAATATAATTATATAATAATATAATAATAATATAATTTTAATAAGAATTAAAACTCTTCTTCGTTTTCAGTTTCCAAGAACAGAGGAAGAATGGAAATCCATAGCAAAACAATTTGAGCAGCGTTGGAATTTCCCACACTGCCTCGGTGCAGTTGATGGGAAACACATTACCATCATCCCTCCCCCAGACTGTGGTTCGGAGTTCTTCAACTACAAAGGACACCATAGCATGGTGTTGATGGCAATCGTTGATGGAAATTATAGGTTCATCATGTGTGATTTTGGAACAAATGGTAGAGTGTCCGATGGTGGTGTTATTCAGAACACTTTATTTTATGACAAACTGCAACACGGTACATTAAATATACCTCCTGAAGAAATCGTCAAAGACACATCTACAGCTTTACCTTACGTATTTGTTGCGGATGATGCATTTCAGTTACGCGTCGATATGATTAAACCATTTAGATTGGCAAGTTTAACTGATGACAATAGAAAGGTGTACAACTATCGTGTATCACGAGCAAGGCGCATAGTAGAAAATGCGTTTGGAATATTGAGTGCCAGGTTCAGAATATTTCATACTTTTATAAATATGAATCCTACAAAAATTGAATCTGTTGTAATGGCATGCTGTGTATTGCACAATTTTTTGGTCAACACTGTTCCGAAAACGTATGCCCCTACAGAATGCTTTGACATCGATGACAGGGAAGCTGGTATCACAAATGTAGGTTACAATTGTGAACATGAGAACATGTACGGTTTACAACAAAGAGCACGTGGAAGCACCATGACTGCCGCAATAAGGGTTCGAGAAAAATTCATTGATTATTTTGTTAATGAAGGTAGTGTCCCGTGGCAGAGAAACTTCATTCATTGACATTGGAATGAATAGTTTTGCATTTGTTGCATTATTTTAGTAACTTTAAATATAACTGTTGCTTTTCGAATGGTAATGATGTGGTATTGATTTTGCAAATAAATAAAATACATAAATTACATGTTGTTGTTACCTCATTGTTCCCAACTTGTTCATCTTCGCTCAAGTTACTCCTTGACTGGCGGGGAGTTTCCTGGTCGTCCAAGAAATGCAGGAGATTGTAGTACCACAGTTTTGGCAAGTACACATCTTCGGCTGAAGCACCTGACTTTGTTGCTTCCCTAACCTTTTTCAACTCTTTCCGGTAACTACTTCTCAAATTGTTTATTTTCTTCAACACAGTAGATTTATTACAATTTGGATCTACCTGCTTCCACACTTCAATTAACCGTCCGTAAGCTGCTTCCTTCTTCATTCTATCATGATAATCTGCTGATTTTACTTTCCACAAGCATTTCTCACTTTGATACACACTAATAAATTCCTCTAAGCATTGGTTCTCTTTTTCACGTGACATTTTCACAATCACAAAACAACAACTCACAAATAATCACAGAAACAATTCACAACTACTAGCAACAACTCGGAAATACAAATGAAGTTCGGCCGGTGGTCGGACGCCGCTCCCCATACACGTTCAGTTTTGACTGAAACAGCTTCCGGCAAGCCGGTTGAACTGATGAGTTTCCATTCGATCACCGGCCGCCGGTACAGTCTTAACTGACAGTCCAGCCGGACCCCACACACGCTACGGCCGCCGGTCTCCGGCGGACTGTTCAGGCAGAACTGACAGGCTTGCCGGTACGTGTATGGGCACCTTAAGAGGGGCATGGGACTCGCACTATACAAGAAGAAAAGAGGCATCTGCTATTTTCATGTGAATCTCTAAACACTGGTTTCCCTAGTAACTAACTAATACTATTGTGGGGTTCAAACATTCATAGCTAAAGTTGCACTCAAATATTTTGTGTTATTAGTGTTCTCAAGATCACAATCCAAAACCTTTTGGGCCATTCAAGATGATTTTTGAAGAATTGTCTTTTAGGTTTGGGACAACCTTGGGAAACATATTCTGCTTCATGGTGAATCCTCGCACATTGAATGCTTTCAAGATGCCGATCTTGTTGACTTTGGCGTTACGTGGTTTGGCCTGGATATGTGGCAGAGATGCTTGGATACGTAGAATAGAAACGACAATCTATCACGCCATCAACCTCGATGATTTCTGATGCGAAAACCCCTGTAAAATGTTTACACTAGAATACATGGTTTGCATACAGTAACATTTTTCTAAATTTTGTTCCTTTAGTCTATTACGGAGACATGTGTAGGTCTAGTCAGGCTATTGTCAGTAACTGTTTGTAGTGTATAACTAATCTATAATGGAATTAGACATTTCTATTGTGTGGAAATCCGAATTCGTATTGCCATTGATCAAATTGATTGAGGAAGGCTTAGTCAGTTGAAATATTATTGCCTAAATGCTTCCTTTTTTAATTGTTAAAAGTTTTATCTGTTCACATGGCTTATAGTACTGACAGTGGAGTGTAATTTGTGAAGATCTGCGGATGGTAAAACTATTGTAGTGGATGAATACAAGCTCTAAATCAAATTAAGCCAACTAATTTTGAGTGTTAAATTTGCAGGTTAAGAAATCCGTAATAAGGTTTTGTAATCTAATTGCCTACAGTGTGATCTTAGTGTCAAATATTTTCACATGTTTATAAACAATATAATCATGTTTGCTGAAAGGAACATAAAATTACAGTATCTTGAACATTCTACCCCTACAGGACAGGGAGTAATTTGATGACTCTTTTAAAATACATACAAATTCTTTTATTTATGTTTAAATTACATATTTTAATCACTGAACAATAAAAACTAATCTACAACTGTCATTAAAGTTTTCCAGTGAACAATGTTTTATTTCAATTAATAATTACAAGATCAATAAATCTAGATTTGCAAATGTTACTAAAATTTTGGATTCTTTCGATTTCAATATTTCAATATACAGGGTGTTCATTTGAAAACTTTCCATATCTGTTGTGTGCAAAGGTAAGGCTTTTAACACTTGTTTGTTCTATTTTCCCCCTAATTTGGACATGCCAAATCCAATAAAATTATTTTCAATTTTGAAAAATGCCCCAAAAGGGCCCAATTTGGGGGGTAGGGGTGCTTTTTGAGAAATTTTCAAATGTAAACATGGGTTGTGTGATACATCAATTTAAAGGTCTAATCATCCCGATAATTTTGGTGCAAAAAAAGTTTAATTATCTTTAACCGTATTTACAGGGTGGGTCAAAACGTTTTAAAAAAGGACTTTGAAGTTAAGTACCGTATTACCCTAACTACTGAACGAAACAGTGCCAAATTTCTTTCCAAGCTTATTCTTGAGCTACTCTTTAAGATAACTTGTTGTAAGGGCATTTTCCAAGTTATTTTCTAATTTTTTAAAAATCTCAAATTTTAAGAATAAAAGAAAGCTGAAAACTCAAAATTCTTAAATAGCAAGGTATAACAAATTTCATACCACGTGAAAGGTCCTTTTTTAACAAACATTTTACGTATTTAAGTTTTCTTTCTATCTCTTACCGTTTAAAAATTGCAGTAGAAAAACCTAATTTTCTATGGAAATATTGTAACTAGTTTTCTAATAAAACAGCCAAAATTCGTCTCTAGACACATTAAATGGTGCAATAACTGAAGGAAACAATTCATAATTATTTTTAGGCAGATAGGCAAACAAGTCATTACGTTTTACTTTGTGAAAAACAAGTTTTATAGCTGATGAGAAAAACCCAAGCGTGGGCCGCTTTCTGTAGTACCATTGACTGTACTAATTTCAAAAGTACCATTTCCTGTAGTACCTAATCAAATATGGTGTAAACTTAAGAAAATAGACTTTATTTTACTTATTGGTCATAACAAAAGTGTTCCAGGATAACTGCAAAGTGTTTAAAACAATAGATATCCTGGTATAACTATGAGTCATATAGCTGTAAATGATTTAGTTAGGAAGTTTTCTGAAACTGGCTCAGTTACCAATGAGACAAGAACAGGATGAAGGGTCCAAGATGAATTCTGACACACGTAAAAGTAGTCGATGAATTTGTTATGAATCCTACTACATCGTTGAACAAAGTGCAATGTGTTTTATTAGAAAACTAGTTATAATTTTACCATGGAAAATTATGTTTTTCCACTGCAATTTTTAAACGGTAAGAGATAGAAAGAAAACTTAAATACGTAAAATGTTTGTTAAAAAAGGACCTTTCTTGTGGTATGAAATTTGTTATACATTGCTATTTAAGAATTTAGAGTTTTCAGCTTTCTTTTATTCTTAAAATTTGAGATTTTTAAAAAATTAGAAAATAACTTGGAAAATGCCCTTACTACAAGTTGTCTTAAAGAGTAGCTCAAGAATAAGCTTGGAAAGAAATTTGGCGCTGTTCCGTTCAGTAGTTAGGGTAATACGGTACTTAACTTCAAAGTCCTTTTTTAAAACGTTTTGACCCACCCTGTAAATACGGTTAAAGATAATTAAACTTTTTTGCACCAAAATTATCGGAATGATTAGACCTTTAAATTGATGTATCACACAACCCATGTTTACATTTGAAAATTTCTCAAAAAGCACCCCTACCCCCCAAATTGGGCCCTTTTGGGGCATTTTTCAAAATTGAAAATAATTTTATTGGATTTGGCATGTCCAAATTAGGGGGAAATGAGAACAAACAAGTGTTAAAAGCCTTACCTTTGCACACAACAGATATGGAAAGTTTTCAAATGAACACCCTGTATATTTTGAATGCCTGCTCCGTCTTCAAATTCTCGAGCAGATCTTTATTTTATTTCCATTAAAGTTGTTAATGCAAAATTTCAGCACCCAATACTTTTTGTGTGTTGTTACAGGGAATATTATAATAATATAAGAGATAATAAACAAAAATAGAATTTAATACATGTAAATAAGGTACTGTAATTAATTGTGTAATGTAACTCAGTTACTCATATAAGAATTTATAAGCATTTTTCTCTCTTAAATCTTAAATTCTACATTGTACCATACAAAGAGACTTTTATACAGGTGTAACAATCTTAAGTCAAAAATGTTTGTGAGAGCTTTTTGGATGCTGTAGTAAGGAAGTTCCTATAAGTTTTATTTTTTATCTGTATATACAGGCTTGAGGAAGTAATGAATTCTGCTAAGTGCTAACTCTGTGCTAAACAGTTACTGTACAGTTAGAAGAATGATTAACACTTTGTTGCCGCTTCAAGTGTTACCGCTACTTACGGCATAGTTCACAAAATGTCTAAGGCAATCTTACTTTGTATTTTGATATTCTTTATATCAACAATTCAAGAAACTATTACTTTGTCTCCAGTTTCAGAAAATCAACTTATTACAAATGCTTCAAATCATCGGCAATCAAGAGGTAACTTAATTTGTTTGATTAAGTGTAAGCTAGTAACTTATTATAAAAAGATTGCTAAATGATTAAAAAAGTTTTCGAATGTAAAGCAGATGAAGTTAAAAGCTATTTTTACTCTTATAATGGATACATAATTATAATGTCAATTGTGCAATGTATGTTTCTAATCTTATTTTGTAAATTCTGAAGCTGATTTTTGAGTGTGTTTAATTTTTGTTACGTTCGAGAGCACTGATATTGACTAAATGTCTTATTTTAAGGTAGTTTCTACTAAATGTATTTCATGATTTGGCTATAATACCAGACAAAAAGCAACCTATAGCTTACAAATAGATTGTTGTATTTAGTTAAATTATTTAATTGTTTTGACAGACGTTAAATTATAAGAACTGTAAAGAAGAAAACACATTTTATTTTTGAATATAAACAGTCTTCTATTGATCTATAAAATCTGTGAGGATTTGCTTGATCTAATTCTAGCGCTAAGCGTAAAAAAACATCACTTCTGTGATAATTTACTACACATTTATACACTAAATAATAAATCAACTTAGGAGGAAAATATCTGTTAGATTGTTTTGTCTTGTAAATGTTGCAGTATTTTTCCTGTTCCCACTGTTCACGCCGTTTCGTCGCAAGTCGTGCTACGCAGGGACGTCACTCAGTCAGGTTGGGGTGTGCTACACAGCCTACCAGTGTACGTTGCGCGGCGGTGTCGCATCCGGCACCTGTGCTAACGGTCGGGGAGTGTGCTGTGTGTGTGAGTATGGTTAAAATACATTCTTGGTTCAACACGGAGGCTATTGCTAGATATATAGGATTATCATAGATAAAAAGCTTCCAGTCACTCTTGACTACTTCGGTCTTCAGAGGTAACACCTGTGTGACACAGTTTTACTCCAAAGACAACAATATAAAAAAGTATCTTTGTCTAGTGATGCTTATAGATACGTTGATATCAGTTAAACAATAAATATCCATAAGCTGTTCCATTAGGTTGTGTACCACTGTCAAGATTTGATCATTCCACCAGAATCAAAAAGGAAGTCAGGACAGGAATTCAATCTGGGTGGATAATAGCGCTGCAAAACCTTATTTACTATGGTTGCTAATGTTTGTATTTTGTCTCAATGGAGGATAATCTTGTGGGAACTCACAGCCGTAAATTAAAATAAAATATGAGAACTCATGTAACTTACCTTGTAATAATACAGATATAAATGTGAGGTTAGGAAAACTGGTATAAAGTATCCTATTGATAAAAATATTTGCCTGGATGAAAAGTGCTTTTCCCATGGAACATCTGGTAAATCACAGGAATTGTTCAGTAAACTTGAACATTTTATTTCATCCTCTTTGTTTTACTTAAAACTAACTCTCTTCTCAGCAACATGTGTTTGTTGTCATATTAAATTATTTCTTATTATTATATTGTTAACATATGTTGCATTCAAAATGTAAATAAACAGAGTTCTTGTTCTTTCGTAACCATTAAAAGTGTGTTCATTTTCTCTCTCTCATATTCATTAATCTCAATATCTCCATATCTCTACATATTATTCCTCTGGTCCTTCGAACTAATTCTCATTAAACCCTTTCTCAGGAATTATAAACCAAGAAGGAAATAATATGGGTATATTTTTGTGGTCGGATAAATGATTTTTTAATGTTTAACTTTTGTGTATGTAATCCACAGTCCAATACTCGTGTGATGGAGTGTCTACAGCACAGAACTACACCTACTTCACCAGTCCGGGATATCCGGCTTCGTACACAGGAGGATCCCGTTGCTCCATTACAGTTACGAAAGCCAACTTCTCTGTCTGTCAGGTTAGTGACTTGGAAAATAAATGGCATGCTTATGTCCAACCATAGACTTTTGGATGTTGTAGTTGAATACACTGTGAACCGTGTCATTAGTGTGTGATACAGTTAAAAATACTATTTTATTCCATAGTTTGTGTTTGTGTGCTAGTTTATACTGCTAGTTATACTGCTAGTTTCCGACTAAAGAAACAGCTGGTCTTGGTCAGTAAAAAAGCTACACGAGGCATTTCACTTGATTCTACACTCACTCTTCACTCATATTTGGGTTAATTTGAACATTTTCATACTTGAATATGTCGTCATCAATGTATGTTTGCAACAGCTGAGAATCAACATGTTGGATCTTACCTTGGCTCCGCCCACAGCTGAGGGAGTGTGCAGCGATGACTTCATGTCAAGCAGTTCGAGCACCTTGCGACTGTGCGGAGATAACAAGGGTCAACACAGTAAGTTGATCAGTAGATAGAACTGAATTTTAAAGTAATTGCTTACTGTACACTCTCCAGTTCTGTTAAATAAAACCACTGACTGGTCTAGGATGAAGAAAATATACTTAATTATTTGTGATTATGAAAAACTGAGGAAACATAAAAAACAAATTTACTGATGGAAGAGTAAAATAAATAAGTAGACAATTGGTGAAGGAAGGATTGGATTACTTACAGTTGCTGTTTGTTTAAATAAAATACCGTCTGACTTGAAGTGTAACTTAACTAAATTTTCGAGTTGCTTACAGTGTATCAAGAAATTTATTTTCAAAGACGTCGAACTTAGTTGAGGAAAAATACAATGAAAATGCTTGATAAATTTTATAAAGGCGCTTACAGTTTAGTTGTAATCTGGGTTGCATTTTATAACAGCAATAATTGAACAGCAAAGTTGATGGAAAGTTTGGCTGTATGAGTTGTCCGTATGAAATAAATTCTTTAAATGAAACAATTTCTTAAGATTGAAATTATATAGAGTTAAAGTTTGTTAACTGTTGGAGCTCATAAGTAGGCCTCCAATGTTGTTTACTGATTTATTATCCGTGTTTCAGTTTACGTGGACTTTAGAACTGCATCGTCCTTCACTCTCTCAGTCGACACAAACTCTCTTCTAAGCTTTGATCGATCCTGGAACATGGAGATTATTCAAATACCGTGTTCTTCCGGAGGTAAGAATTATACTCTTTAGTTTGAACAAACCGTATACCGTAATCAAATTATGCTTTGCTAAAAGTTTGATTTGGGAAAGCTTATTACTGATTAAGTTATGTCAAGACAATATTGATTTACCTGACTAAATATCTTGGTCGAGCATGTAGTCACATTAAAAAGTGAAGGAGTCAATAAAAACTTTAAAATAAATAAATAGGCTATCTTTGTCTCTATATGAACGTTTTTCATGTGATGGCTATTTTCAGACTTTTTTTGGCACAAGTTGACACTAAAGATTTCAAAGTAATGTAAATCAAAAAGCAAAGCTAATGAAACCATCTGCATGTTCCAGTTCCATCAGGCTGTACCCAGTATTTCAACACAACATCCGGCTCAGTGTCCAGTTTCAACTATGGCACCACTGCTTCCACTTCCACTAACACTGATGGTTCGTAAACAGTAGGATATAGTTTAGTTTGAAATTGTTAGTATCGACATAATAGACGTTTCACTACCCCAAAAACAAAATTTCAATTTTTTTTTTTATTTTTATAATGTTATTCCTGCTTAATGATTGCCCCGGCTGGCTGGCTGGTAAGATGACTCAAGGAATGTGAGTTGACCCAGTCAAAAATATTGTAGCTACGGAATAGTAAATTATTAATTTAATGTCTTAAGTATTTAGAATGGATTTATAATTTTTTACTATTAGCATTATGCCAATCTAAGCTATTCAACTTAAACATGGAAATGGAATATTTAGTTTTATCATAGAGATTAAACATACTCCTGGTATCGATAATAAAAGGTAATATGCAGGTAAATCCAGCAGACTTTTGAGTAAATGATTTATATAATAAAACTTAATTGATTCAAATCAAAACTGATTAAACTTTACAACAATTACACTACAACTCATCTTGTTTTTTGTAAACTGTTTGTATTCTAAATTTCAGGTTCAGCTGGGAACAGACAGATTGCAGGATTGAACTACGGAGTTTGTGTGCGATCACTGTCTGGCTACTGTTACATTGAATGGTCTCAAAACTCCGCCAGCCCATACAGCTTTACAGTATCTGGTCCCACTGATGCCTTGGACACCTCTGTACTGGGTAATAATGGGTTTTTAAAAAACACTTATGACTACCACCAAATGTCTTTTTCAGAGCGTATGCTCCAATTTCAAACTCACTACCAAATTCTTTAAACCCAGAATAGAAATAACACTTTATTTAAAATGGGACAACCAGAGAGAGGAATGGAGCAATGAACTACAACACTAATCATCTGTAGTAATATACAGTATATTAATGCCAAGTATCTATTTGATAAAAGAAATTTTTTTAAAGTCGCTTTTTGCCCCAACTATTGCATTAATACTTCATTAACAATTGAACATATTTTAGGTAATGCTAATGCGGCAACTAGTGGTGGAAACTGCACAACCAACTTTGTGGTGATTCCAAACCCTTCTCAAAATGGCGTCAGGGTTTCAACAGATAGATTTTGTGGTAATGGATTTGTTGCAACAACATGTAAGTAGTAAAGATAATAAAACCCTTATTTAAACCTTGTTAAATCAGAAAAATGGGTTTCAAATTATTATCAGTTGGTATTGTTGTTTAATTACGAGAGGTGTTCTGTAAGTAAGAGACGTTCAAGCGTTTGGCTCTGTACTTCATGTGTACACCGCAGCCTGCTTGGCATCAAATGTGAACAGAATCGTACCATTTGCAGCTGTGTAGTTTACTTGTACGCTCACTGTTGTTTTAGAAAATATTTAAAAATAAATTGATCTCCCGAGATTAGGTCAGTGCGAGATAAGGTCGGTAATAAATTTTTTAACTTGCAAGAAACATATCCTGTACAGGCATTCATTTCCAGATGACTTAAGTCTATGGCCCATAATGCTGTAAGAGAAAAGTGTGGAAATGAGTAGTTAAAGGGAGTTAAAAATGGCCATAAAAATGTCTCTTTCATTATGATTAAAAACCTAAATGAATGGCCCAAACATATAAAATGCTCCTTGTAAATTTACATTGAAAATAAATGTCAAATAAATATGAACTGTGCATGGAACTTTTCAAAATCGACAAGGAGAGGCGAAGATAACTAAAATATTGTGTTTCTTTGTCTGTAATAAGTTGTGCTGCACTAAAGTATATATTGAAAATGTTGTACATATTATTAATGGCTGGGTATCTGAGTGTTCAGCTTGTCTGCTTAAGTGTCGCCGGTTCAATCCTCAGATAAGTGATTAGCTTTTTAATTGTCGGTAACTGGGCTCACCTGTTTTCAATCATTTAGCTAAATAAATGGTCATGGTTGAAGAAACATCTCACAGTCAGTAACAAAACCATTAACAATAAGCACCTATGTGGCGTGGCGTTAATAATGATAATGCCTTATTTCAGCTGCAGCCAGACCTTATGTCCTGTATGTTACGACTGCTGCTACCTCCTCTACTACCAACTCTGGGGACCTCGGTAACCGAGGCTTCACCCTCAACTACCGTCTGTTGCCTTGTTAAATAAATGTAAAAAAAAAATTAAACGAGTTTGATTTCCCTTGAATTACGATGTTTTACTATTGATATAAGTTGTTGCCATTCCATAGTTCCAAGTGGTTGCCAGTTTTAGACAAATAGCTAATTTATTTGTGTACTAGCTGCTGTACCCATTGCGGCTCATCTCATCTATAAAGGTGTTTATGGGAACTCACTTGGGAACTACAGTATCATGCTCTCGTATCATAAACACTAAACACCTACTTCCAACCTTGAAGCGTAAATATATTCTTAAAGCACTCGTAAGCCGTGTTTACAGGATTTTGTTGTATACTCTGGTATAAATGCTGTTTAAGAATGTAAATATGTCAGCTGCTCAGTAGCTTAACATCAGCTATAGTTTACACCTTTTTCCCACTTTTACAACTGCTTTGAGCTACCAATAATTCCAAAAGCATATAATCAGGGATTTAGAAAAATCACCAATGATAAATCTATATAAATATATTTTTTATAACAAAGCTAACACAGGTGGTCTCACTTAATTAAATAAAACAGCACAAAATATTCGGAAACTAAACACTAATCGAATTATGCTATCAATACATACGTAGTATGTATCAGTGTACAAAATACTCCACGGGCAACATGCATTCCTATCATCACTCACACACACTTAAATTAAATATACAAATATACATTAATTAATTAAATTATTAGTCCACAGTCTTTAGATTTGAGATGTTTGCGGTTACAGTTCGTCGTGTTCCTCCTGATCCTCATCCGCTCCGACTTCTTCCGCCTTCTCATCTGCCTCCGCCTCCTCTCCATCATCTTCTTCTTCATCAACCTGAAAAAAATGCAATAAGCAAGTAAGTGATAACAGCCTCACAAGAAACCACTTGAAGGCACAAACTAATTCCTACTCTGCATTGTTGGTAGATAGTTAATTTGTGAGTAGCTCGTCATTAGTTTGTTATGCCTGCTTGGCTATACTGTTTACAATTTCTTTATGTCTAATAAACTTTCTAAACTATTTTTATGACATACACAAACAATGTGTGTGGTTGTAATTGCAATACAACGAGAATATAACAAGTATAATTTGGCCAAAAGGTAGGCAAAATAGATTTTCAAGTTTTGGTATTTGGAGGAATTTTATGCTGAGCTTAAAATATCCAAGAATATTAGAAACAAGTTCTTTTCATTTATCAAGCAGTTTTACAAGCAATTTTTATTTTCACATTATAGATGCTCAAACCAGTTAGTATTGCAAAAAATGAACTCAATCTTAATCCAATAATATGTTACAGAATGAATAATATGATCCTTTTTTCATCAGCCTCAGAGTCTTTGATACATTTCAAGATTAAATATACTAGAATACTAACCGCTAGATCCTTGGGTATTCCCATGGTGTCCCTCATCAAGTCTTCCACAGTTTGGGCAAACTCTGCTGAGTCTTGCAGCATGAAGCCGGATCTCAAAGTAGCTGTAACACAACAAAGACACTTAACAAAAACACTTTTTAGCATATTTTACGCATGAATACTTAGATGGAAAAAACATAGAAGGATAATGACGAATCAACCTCAATTTTATCCAGGCCCATGCAGTTAATCTGAGTGACAGTTGAATGAGGGTCGGTTAATACAAAGTGTGCGGCATTGTCATGGCTGGGCAGTGGCCATTCCTGCTCTAGGCCATAACGCAACAGCAGCAAATGAGAGGGATCTACTGTATGTTTGTGTCACTCACCAGTTCTGAACATCATGAGAGCCATATTCTTGGCAGTCTCGTCCTCTGGGTTGTCAGCTACTCTCTTCTGCAGCTCCTTGATGAGAGGATGTCTGGGGTTGATCTCCAGAGTCTTGCGTTGGCTGAGGTAGTACGAGCGCTGAGGGTCGTCAGCCTTCTGGTGTGCGTTGGACACTGCGAGGCGCTCCATGTTGCCAGTCCAGCCGAACATTGAGGCGACCAGTGCGCACGGTGACTCTGTCAGACGCTCGGACACTTGCGCCTTTGCGATCTGTGGGGCAACAAAATACTCATTACATGATCATATGTTGCAACTTATCTTAACCTATGTCTTAAAGGAGAGTAACACAATATTTTGGACTTTTTCGTTTACTAACATGAGCTAATTTGCTATGCTTCATACCAACAGTTACTCATGCCTTTTGCTTAATCAAAACACTTTTGTGCTTCCTAAAACTTACAAAGGTCTCCTCACCTTGTCCTTAAGAGCGACATCGTTGAGCCACTTAGTGAGGTCCTCGTATTTCTCCTTGAGGGCTTCCAACTTCTTCTTGTCCTCCTCCAGGGTGAACCCTTCCTTCGCCACATTCTGGAACTTCTTGCCCTCAAACTCTGGCAGTGAAGACAGACAGTACTCGTCCACAGCCTCTACCAGGTACAATACTTCGTAGCCTTTCTTCAGCAGTCGCTCCACAAACGGGGAACTCTCCACCTGAGTAGCACAGACAGATCAGTGAACAACTCCTCAGTGACACAGGCAGATCAGGAGGATAGTTAAATTCCCGATTTTTACTTATACGTACAAACATACTTACTTATATATATACCAATAAAGTTATTTTAAATTTAATTCAATCAAGGTCCAGTCAATCTCAGGACTTACCTCCTTCCTGGATGAGCCAGCCAGGTAGTAGATATGGTCCTGTTTAGGTTTCATCCTCTCAACATACTCAGCCAGTGAAGTGGTCTCTTCCTCCGTCTTAGATGATTGGAACCTGAGCAGCTTAGCAAGGCGAACCCTGTTGGCTGTGTCCTCAATAACTCCCAGCTTGATGCTGTGTAATCAAACATATTGTTTATTCTCTTGTAAAAACATGTTTATGTAGGTAAAGTGGTTTACAAGATTCCTCGATTAGTATAATTAACATTGTCAACCTTTCTCAAGTTAACCTAGTTCAGGTTGCAGTACTTTTGAAACAAATATCAGTGTGTTAGTGGTTAACTAGTAATTACATTAAGTTTTTTGCAGTAAGAGTTTGTTTTTGTTGTCAGTCCTAATCTAACCCCAAACAGAATTTGTAAAAAATAGAACATTTCAACCGGTAAACATATGGGTAGTATAAGAGAAAAGGTCCAAAATACATAAATCTGACAGGCGGGTGGTTAGGAGGTATACTGTAAGTTGAAAGAGTTTTCCAGTGAGTAGAAAAACTGCTTCTATCAGAGGGTTAATTTAGGCCAGGGACTATTTGGGTCAAGTAAAGTTGCAAACACACAAAAATAAATAGTGTTGTATTCTGTTGCAAATATATTTGGATCACCTCAAATTGCACTTTGCAACTTAACATATTTATGTGCAAATCGAGCCATCATGCAGCAAGATAGTGCCACTGTCTTATATACTGTTCTTTCTTGAAAAATCCAATTAACTTTTTTTAATTTTTTTAGTAACCGGATGGGGTAGGACGCCAACTGATGCAGATAGTTGGAGCTATACTGTACAATGCACTTGCCTGATAATTGTAATGTGATAACTACACTTACTTTGTAGAGTACTCTTTCCAGAACTTCTTCAACTCCTCCGGCTCGAGTTTCTTGATCATGTCGAGGGCCTTGCGCACAAGCTTTTTTCGGATGACCTTGAGCAGCTTATGTTGCTGCAGCGTCTCTCTGCTAACGTTCAGAGGTAGATCGTCAGAGTCCACGACTCCTTGGATGAATGACAAATACTTGGGCAGCATGTCTGTGAACTCGTCCGTGATGAACACCCGACGCACGTACAGCTGCAAATACACACACTGTATAGTAAATATTAGGCTACGAGGTTGATTGAGTCTAATCAGGTTTGGTAATCAATTTTTTTTGTCCTAGGACACTAGGCACAAGCCTGGGATTGTTTTTCACATGACTTCTGGCTAGACCTAGGGGTTGCGGCATTGTCACCTAAATAAAATCCATTGGTGTCTTGGCAGGGATTGAACCCGGGACCTCAGCGACTGAAGTCCCACGCTCTAATCACTACGCCAGCTCGCTCCCCAGGTTTGGTAATCAATGAGAAATATATAAGTATAACTGAGTGTCTAAAGCACCTTCTGTACAAGTGCAATATAAGAGACTTGAGAGATCCGTGATATGCAGGAGCTGTAAAAACCTCGAACTGAACGTATTGATTTAAATAAACCAGAGTAGACATCCCATCTAGATGTACCAGCTGTAACCAATTTTTAATTTAAGTTGAACAGTGGTTGAACATAGTTAAAAGAGCAATTTTAATGTTAAATGACATTCTTCATCGATCATTTGTATAGTATTTATATAGAAAAATACCAGTGAAATTATCATGTGCACCTTGACCTCTCAGATCAACCAAACAAACATGCCTCTATCAACCACTTGGCTTTCCCCTAGAATAGCTTACTACAATTTAATATACACCAGCTTCACTTAAAGGATTATTTTGCGTAGCAAATATCAACAACGTACCTTGATGTTGTCGGTGACTGTGCCATATCTGTTGAAAGAGTCGCTGGGCTGGTTCTGAGGCACAAACAACAGAGACTTGAACGTCACTTCACCTTCAGCCACAAAATGTACCTTGGCCAGTGGGTCCTGACGATCCTTAGTGAGCGACTTGTAGAACTCGTTGTACTCACTGTCCTCGATCTCAGCAGGCCTGCACAATGTTCAACAATCAACATTATACTAGTAGTGTAGTAACAATCAATACTATTCCATGGTACCAGTATCTCAAGGAATTTTCATTTATGACATTTAATTTTTAACGGTAGTTAAAAAAAATAAAAATGTGATATTCACAATAACGGATGCTATGATTTTGATTAAAGTTAAATATATTATGGTCCTTTTCACCCTGAACAAAATGACACAACCCTTTTAAACGCTGTAAAAATTACAAAACAAAGGTTAAAATAATTTTGTGATTTTCCTCATAAAAAGCTATAAAATTTCATAAAACACATTTTGCTCATAATGGTGGAATGTTCAATATTTCAATGTCAAGCTAGAGGGAGAAATAATTATGTTTG